TGCAACAAACTGGAGCCAGGAGAGATACTGGCTACTCCTTGGAGATACTGTTTTGTTCAGAAGTCCTGGCTGGCTTTAAGGATTCATTTTGTACGCTTGTCACTGATGTCTTGCCTAATATACTGTACAAATTCGGACTCTACAATATCTCATCTTTATTTCTGCTGTAACTGATGAGCTATCCTGAGGAATGTGTCAGAAGAAGAGGCTAAATTTAATAGTTTATTTGGTAAATTTAATTGTTTATTCCAATGTAAACTCAAAAGGGGAAAATATTTGTGGCTGTTTCTGCAGGTATTTGAAATGAGGTGTTGCTTTGGGTAAGGCTCTGAAATGTTGTTAACTATCTGCTGTTTATGTATGGTGCTTGACTGTTTTGTTTTGTTTTGGGTTTTTTTTGAGTAATGCATGGTAACCAGGTTTTCAGAAAGGGGAAGTGCCTTGAGTCAGTGCAACATTGATTTTCCTGGAGGAGAGGAGAGAATGGTGGTAGAGGCAAGTGGCTATTTCTTGTTCACTTCAGCAGTGCAGATGTCTCAATAAGCAGAAAGGAGCAAACATTTTAGAAATCGTTAATTATAAAACATATCCCTTAGATTTTTGGAAATAGCAGTGTTACGCTCTTAGTCAGATTCTTGCATGTGCTGGCAGAGATACTGGTTACTCTTAGCTTGGGCTCCGTGTTTAGTTTCAGCTAGGTGAGTACAGTGTTGCTTTTTTCTGGCTTTCCTTAAAAGTGCAGTGATATATTGGATACAAGCATTGGTTCTGGCTCCAGGGCAAAATTCCCAATGTGTAAAGTAGCCTTCCAGAAGCCAGGGAAAGCTGGCAGCGCAACGTTGCTGTCTGTAGCTGAGGTTTTCCCGGGATTGTTTTTGGTTGAACATCTGAAAGGGTTCAGGGCATCTTGAGCTGCATTTGTGTGTTTAGGTGACAGCAGGGAATTAAGCCATTTTCTCTTTTTTTCAGGTTGTGGTTCTTGTCTTAAACTGTTTCAAGCAGATTGGGGATAACCATGCAGCCATGGCTTGCCAAGTCAGAAGTGCAACAGGTGTTGAATGTGGTTCAAGTTTGGGAATAACTCTACCAATTGATATTAAAAATGATGCCAGCAAATGTTCTATTGCAGTAGTTGCCTGGAGAGTTGAGCATCTTTTTCCTTGGTACATGATGATTTCTTAATGTCACTTCTGTATTTCTATTTTCATATACAAAATCCCTCAAGGTCAGCATCTTTGAAATTTCTATACGTTGTCATACAAGCGATTGATAAACTGTTAATCCTCCTGAGGATTTTCTGATGGTTTCTTTTTTAAAGGAGGGGGAAGTGCTTTAGATCAAGGTATATTATGTTTGTATTTTTAAGGTAATCTGTTCTTGACTGTAAGACTTCAGCATTCTTCAAATCCACAGCTGAAGCACCCCTGCTTACCTTCTAAAGTAGTGAGAATCATGAATCCATGACTGAGAAATAAGGATTTTTGGGGAGCATTTTGAGGAGGCTGGAGCCACTTACCTCTTTTGATCTGCAAGAACATTTCAGTGTTGAGTTGCTTTACACTCTCTGTTTTTTGTAGCTTTTATATTGGAACGGCTAGAAAGTTTAAGTGCTAAAACTAGAATTCTGGAAATTCAAATAAGAAGTTCAGCATGCACATTTGGAAAACACCTGGATAAACTGAAGGGTGCTGGACTGCTTTGGGGGTGTTGGACTGAAGATGGGAAAGGCTGACATCAATTTTCGCCATGTGGGGGGCTCTGGCTTTGCATCTCCCATTTTCCTGAATTGAGAGGCTGCCGATTCTTCTGCATTCTACAAAGGCAGGAGAAGTGATGCGGGACCTTTACCACAGAATGGATGTTACTTTGGGATCCCTCTGTAGTGGTTAGGGAGTGGAAACATCATTATCAGGGAGCCTTTCTGATGAGCTCTCATGCTTTGGGGTGGAAGCAAGCTGGAAGTTGTGTGGGAGTCCCAATGTACGCAAGGATACAGCAAAGGGGTTCCCTGTTAAAAACAAAAGTGAAACCCCCTGTAGAGCTGGTCCTGTTGAATGGTGGTGAGGTGTACTCCTCCTGCATCATGTGGGGGCATACAGTGAACTTGTATCCTGTTGGTCACTTTAATAACCTGTCTTGCTGAATGCAGCACGCCTGTGATTTGTTGTAGCTCTGTGGGCTTTTATTCACTCCTGTCGTGGTTAATATTGCTGCAAGAAAATCAGGCCGGAATCCAGTGCTATTACTATTCAGGGCTTTTTACCCTGAGTGACTGCTTTTTCTGTTTCTGTCTGCTATGATGGAGGTGTAAATCTCTTGCCTGAGCTGCTACAAATCCAGTTCTGAAATAACAGCTTTTTAATTTTGTTTAGTTTTGGTTTTTTTCCCCCTCCTATGGAGTTGTTGGCAGAGGTGTGCTTTCTGTTCTGAGGTTTTTGTTACACTTGCCATTTCTGTGCAAGCTGTCTTTGAAGTAGCCATCTCTGCTCTTTTTTCCCAGTTGCCCAGGCAGAAGTCCAGGCTTCCTGGGTGTTCCCTCTTGTAGTTGTCTCTCTCAACGTCATGTTTGACCCTAATTTAATTGAATGCTCATGTTGTGCTCTAAAGATAGCTGTCTTTAGTACAGAGTGAAAAAGTTTTATTGCTTCATGTTTATATAGACTGTAAGAGATGGGAATCACCTGCCATAAGCTTTCAGCATCTTTTAACAACTGCTCAAAAATTCATCTGAACATAAAAACAAAGCAAGCAGCAAGCACTTGCATTTCTTGCTAAGAAATGGAAGTGGAGAATACTGCTCAGCACACCTAGATGCGTCTTTCTGTTGTCTCCCAAGGTCTTGTACGATGCCTAATAGCCTGTAAGCCAGGCTTTTTGGAACTGAAGGTTGCCAGCAGAGAAGGTGTTGCCATGGGCAGAACCTCCTCTTTTTAGGGAAAGTTGTATGCTCCAGAGGGCTGAGTTTGGCTGCTGGAGGACAAGCCCTTGAATAGGCAATACTCTTTTATTTGCTCTTGATTAAAATCCATGCCTTTAAATTTCATGAGCTGGCAATATGAAAGTAGTCTTCTAGACCTCCCCTTGCTGCCCTGCAGTAAACTTCAAGTCTGGTACCCCCAAAACAGGTACAAAGATAAGTCCTTCTGACCCAAGTGCCTTCTACATGTAAAACAGCTTTTGTCCAATAGATTCACGGAAGTTTCTTCATCTGCACAAGCCACCTTACATTTCTAGCTGGAAGTGAAGTCCTGTGGTGTTTTGGGCATTTCGTTTTTGGTGTCACTCTTTTCTTAGACAGTGGTCTTCATATACAGCATGGCTGCCTTGCTTCCTCCATGTTGCCTGAGCTCTGAGAAGGTGAATTAATGTGAAATTAATTGTTATGTAATGGAATTTTGTGTCTTGCTTAAGTGGTGCAAATGACGTCCTTTGATGTCCCATGCACAGTCCTCTGTCTGTCTGTCTTCTCCCCCAGGTTAAATACCTTATTCAGAAGTTCTGTGTCTGCTTGCTTGAAAACTGCATGTCCTTTTTCCGCTTTCAGGAGCGTGGGCCATGTCTTTTATAACAGGCCGAAAGGATTGGTTTAAACTTTGAGTGAACATTGCATTTAAATTCCATAAACTCACTCTCTTAAATACAAAGACTGCTGAAATTTTCCACTAAATTAAACACTTTTGCTGCAAACAATTCAGTTTCGATCTCTTCAAAGCCTTTGGGCAGGCTTCTCTTATCTGGAAATCTTGTTTATCCCATGGTATTTGTATAATCTCAAGACCCATTGTACAGTAACTAATGTGGAGGTTTTATCAAATAGGATATTTAGCTGTGTTGCTTTTTTCATGACATGTGGTTATGTTTAAGAAATGAAGCTGCTTACATTTCAGGTGTGGCCAGACTGGCACTTAGGGTACTGCAGGCATTTCAGGTTCAGCTGTGTGTAACCTACTTGTGCATATCTTCTGCTTAAAAACAAACAAAAAAGATAGAGTTCTCATTTATTCTTGCAGAATAATTTTTTACTTCTCTTGTCTATTGATTTTATCATTCAATCTATTAAAAACAGAGGTGATTTTAGTTTACTGCAATTAATTGTAAACAGTTATTGAACCTTACTTAACAAATGTAACATAGAATATTATCAAATGGCAGGACTAATAAGAATGTATGTGGATTTCTGTTGGCACTTGTTTAGAGTATATAACTGATCACTGGTTTTTTGTTTTGTTAAGTAGAGGTGCAGAAATTTCTTCTTCCCCACTCTCTGTATGCATTACATGTTCAAAAATGAATTTCAAGGTTCAGTATCTTTTTTTAATGCAACTGAAATGTGTTACAGAAATATTTCTCAGTGATACTGTTGATCAGTTCTCAAACTTCTGAAAACCATATTTCTTTTGAACTAAATGGTAATCAGATGATTAAACTAAATGGCACCAGTCACTATTTTCTATGATTGTCTCTATTTGAAATCTGCCTTTTACTTTGCATGGATGCTTTGGGGGGAGAGGGGGTTGTGGTTTGGTTTTGGTTGAGTTTGGTTTTTTTGGTTTGCTTTTTAAGGTGGGTTGTATTTCTAAATCCTTGCCTTGCTGTGCATCCACCTTATTTCCTGGCCTCCACCCGTCTCTCAGCTAGTGACTGCCACCATGGCAACTCTTCCTCCAGCTGAACAGATGGGACATTGAGTCTCCTCCGAGAGCAAAGCACCGCTCACGCCCTGCCGGGAATCAGTTGGCAGGTTGCACTTCTTTCTGCAAAATTAAAAGCAAGCTCTGCCCAGCAGAGGCATGCTAGTTTTGAGGGTGCTCAATTTCACAAATAATACCGTAGTCTAGTAGTTGCTTGAAGAAATAAAACATAGTGGCTGAACTGGGATTATTTCTATGCCTGAGAGCTCTTCAGAGGAGCTTTGCCTTTAGTGTGAAGAACTTGGCATCAGCCAGCAGCCGGTGGTTTTCTGGTAGAATGGTTGCTATCAACTTTTTTTTTCTCTTTAGGATGCGTCAGGATGAAACGCCACAGGCATCTAAGCACCAGTGACAGTTCAGACAATGAGAGTAAGTAATACCTGCTAGTTTTATTTTGGTCTATCACCCCCTTGTGGTTTCCTTCTGTGGTTTGAGGGCAAACCATTTCACCTCTTATAAATTAAAAAAAAACACAAACTTTTTTGCTTGATTTCTTTTTGCATTTGTGATCTTTGGTGTTCTGAATTGTGTTACAGGAGGAAAATGAGGTGAACAGTCTTACAATCTAAGGGGTGTTTTGAATCTATGTAGAATTTCAAGAGAAACTTGTATGTCTTTGCCATTCAGAGCTGCCAAGGAGAAATTTGTAATTCAAGTGAAATTTTACTGCCCAGGGTCTTATTCTGTAATTATTTTTTTTAAGAGTCCTGCTGTCTTGTGTTGTGCAGAGCCTCAACTTTAAAATAGGTGGGGGCGGCAAGCTATTAAAGCATTGATATGTGAGAGTTGTAACCAGTCTACTGATTGTTACGTTACCTTGTACTGGTTCTTGATCTATTTCACTTTAGTGTGTTAAACAATTTAGTAAAGTTACATTTTAAATGTTCCTGGGCACACACCTACCTGAAGATCTTCTGGTTTTGTCTGCAAAAAAGCCAAAGCAGAGCAACCCTTTATGGCAGGGTCTTGTTTGTTTCTTATAAACCTGTGCCTATCTAATAGCTCTACGCATAATGATGATTCACTGTCATATTCCCTGCGAGTCATCAATGTATCTTCTTCTGAAATAATATTTTGCACAGAAACGTCTAGATATCCCTTTGGTTTTTTGCATTTCTTTTCAGCAGACTTTATAATTGTTTTGTTCTTTAGAGGTTGTTATGGGCACTTGCAAACTCTGTCCTCTGTTTTGCTCCTCCTTCTACTTTGTTAGAAGGGTACTAAATGAAGGAAAGCAGTCTGCCTACTGGTTTCTGTTTACTCTTGCTTGTATTGGGCAGAGCAGAATGTACCCATAAACTCAGTTTGCTGTGGTTTTAGAAAGAATGAGTGGAACAGGAGGAGCTGTAATTAAGCCTGCAGGCTGCCTAAGAGTTTTTTTTGCCCACGTCTTGTCAAAAAATTATAATTCAAGGGATTGGAGTGCCTTGTGTTTTACTGAAAAAAATAAATGAATTGAACTGAACTATAGTCGTCCTTTTTCTTTCTTTTTTTTTTTTTAACAGGTCCTTCCACTTCCTTTTCTTCTTGTTCTAAATACAGGAGCAAGTCAAAAACACCAGCAAATGAACAAAAGAAGCCTGCTGAGGTAAGAACTAGGGTTAAAGGTTGGTTGCTGGTAGTTTTTAGTTGTGTAGTTTTCATGTTTCTAAGCCTTGAAATAGTGACATTTGAACCTAGTGCTGGTGACTGCTTTTGTCACCTGTCAAAGTCTGTGTGAACCTGTATTTTCCCCACCGTGTGAATATTATAGGAGCTCTGGTTGTTTGATGTCCCAAAATGACTTATGGTATGTGCAGACAGTAACATGTGGTTCGTTCTTCCCCTGAAATTTAGTATCATTTTGAAATTGGCAAAAGCTGGGATGGTCTTATGATTTGAGAGCATGGCACAGAAAAACAGTTCCTGTGTATGTGTTTGGGAAGGATACTTACTTTCTGCTTTAGGATGAAAAGAGCAGGACACTTAAGTGGGCAGGATATGTATAAGCAGTGCTTGCTCAGCATCTGCTACTTTGTTTTTTACTTTGGCTTTTTGCTTTCAATAAGGTTTCTTTTTACTCTGCCATCTCCACCTGTTAGAACCCCAACAGGTATCACCACTGTCACTGGATCTGTATTGACCCATATAATAAATTTGCATTTATGCACAAAGCAGTGCTCAAAGCCCTTCTGTCAACTATTCCACTGGTAGGCTCTCTTTGTGGAAGATTTGTTGGCTACCTTCTCCAAATTTTATGCTTGCTTTCTTAAGGGCTGAAGTCAGATACTAACTGCAAATAGGATAAATATTTCTGGCAGCTAATTCCCCTAACTTGTTATCACATTCCCTCTGAATGAGTCCTTCAGAATTTTTGTATGACTGTTGATGCCTGAGGTTGCTAAATAAAGACTGACAAAATCCACTTTGTTTCCATAGAATTTAAAGTTAAGTCTCAGAAATTATTATTTTGTGTACTATACCAGCAGCTTTTTACCTGTGTGGTTACTGCTGTGCAAGGTTGCATGAACTGTATAGATTGTGCTCATATAGCGAAACCTATTCAGCAAACATACTTCATGCTTCTTTTCTAAATGCTGTTAACTGGATGGGCTTGGTTTGGTAAGAACAAGGAAAATGATACAGAACGTGTCCTTTCTTTGGAAGCTTAATTTTTATTACAGGTTAATTGAAGAAAACTCATTGGTTCGTTTCTAAAATAAAATCTTATGTGTTTCAAAAAAGCAAAACTGGCTAGAACTAGCTACATAGTGTTTTATTTGCAGCCACCAAGAAGGTTAAGAAAAGCCTAGTGTGCTTTTTACCTTTAAAATGTTCGTATGAGAATTATGGTTCTGTAAAAATTTTAATCTTAAAACAGCTTGTGGCTACTGAGATCTTGTAAGTGTGTGCCTAGGCAGTGACTTTGTTACTAGCCAAGCTATGCAAATGGGAACTGAAGCACGTACACTGCCAGACTTCTTGCTGTTTCAGATACACCTCAGTGCTAGTCCCTTACCCAATACCTCCTTTCTACCCAGCCATCCAGCTTTCTTCTTGTATCCCTTCATTTTAGGGATTGTCCTGTTACAGTTTTCTTTGAATTTGCTCCATTCTGTCTCTGTGTGCATATGTACCTTATAAACAATAATTATGATGTGGTCCATGTATGTAGCATACAAGTGTTCACTTTATATAACTTCTAGCAATTAAAATTAGCAGTGTTTTCAGTTCCTCCTTTTGAGATCATCTTTGCTGCTTTCTACCTGTTCCAAGACAAAATCTTGATCCCTTTAATGCTTGGTAATAAGAAACTTTGAAGAACAAAATCTGGAATACACACCTGAAATTTAAAAAGTGTACTTCATAACATAAAAAGTGTATTTCAGTAATACTGGAATCTCTTTGTCATCTTTCATTTAAAATCCCTCTACCAGGAAAAAAAAAAAAAGAGAAAGAAATAAATCTCAAACTTTAGAATATGTCCTCTTCTGGAGGAGTGTCCTGCGTACAATATTTAAAAGAACCCTTAAACAAAAAAAAAGTCCTTTGGGGAAGTGAATGGAAGGGAAGGTGGCAATAATAATGTGTACCCCTTGTTTCTAAGACTTTTGGCTATCAGCAAGCACTGCTTCCAACCCCTTGAAAAGCGTATGCTAGAGATTGTATTGCTCGAAATGCTGTTGTCAGCAGAGCATTGAACTGATTATTTATGCACCAAGTGGTAACAAGGGTGTAAAGTGCAGACTGAAAAGGGACCCCACCACACAAACTCGTGTTGTAATCCCACGAGCTTTTTGTAGTAATAGTTGTGTTAATATCTATTAGATAGAAATTAAAAAGTTCAGGCTGACAGCATCTTTAGCAAGGCCTCTCTTTAACAAGTTGGCACTGCTCTCCTTTCATTCACCTCTGCTTGCCAGGCACCAAGCTGTTTCTTGAGTTAGTGATGCAGAAAATCTAGAAGGTCAAAGCTATAAATAGCTATTTGGGAATATTTTTGTTCATGGTCTTCATACATTAATTTTTCTTTCATACCAGCAAGCCTGGCTTTTTCAGTTAAATTGCATATGAATACATAGGCTATTTCCCCCTTCCTCAACCATACAGAGGTTGTTCCCTCTCCAAATAAAAGCTTGGGTTTGGTACTCTGACCAACAAGCAAGTGGTGAGTGTATGTGCCACTTGCTTCACAGGACTTCTCTGTATATGCCAGGATCCTCTGTGGTTGCCTGTAAAAAGTGACAACTGGCTGCAGCTGAGGGCTGCTCTGCCTTGAATTGCCTCCCAAGTGCTTTAGAATTGAGGTGGGTGTGGGAATGGCCCCAGTGGAGTGATGTCATCTGGTGTTACTGCCAGGCCAAGAGGTGCACTGTTACAGTGCAAATGTCAAAGACTGTTCCCATAGCCTATATCAGTCCAGAAGGGATGTTACTCGGTTGGACCTGGGGTCCACTTACTCCAGTCTCCTCTTCGGAGAAAAAGGTGAAAATAAGGCAAGCCTGTAATGATGCTTCTGCAGACCATGGTGCTGCTCTATGTAATGTCAAAAGCAAGGCTGCATCTCTTTCTTGGATTGCAATCTATCACTAACTACTGAGATGGTGACTTAAAAATTTTGTTATCCAATTAGCTTTAGCATTTACTTTGAATAAATAAGTTTTGTTAAGATTACAGGCACACCAGTAGTATAAAGTCATAGTCATTTTTGAGACCTTTATATGAAGATGTTGGTGCCACATGCCATTTGTGGTGTTGCCCCTCAGTGGATTAAAATGTAGACTGGGGGGGCTTGCAAGCCTAAGCAGTAGGCTGTGTGGGAGTACCACGATAGGAGGCATTTGGATGTCTGGCTCAGCGTGAAGCCTCTACTTAACAGTTTCCTGTCTCTATGAAAGCTGAAGCAGAAATTGATGGTGGAGTAATGGGAATCATTTTTGAGGGGAAAACCTATTAGCTGGAGTGTCCTGAATGACTACCCATTTCTTCTCCCTTATGCTAGTGGGGTCACAAAAGAGTGTAAGAGATCTTTATGACACTCAAATTAATTTTTTTTTTTTGGTCCCGTCTCTCTCTTGAAATGGTAAAGAAGTTAAGTTAGTATTGTGCTGGTTTTTTAAACCCTTCTCATGTAAGATGGCAGTATTTTACCTCTCCTTGCAAATGGAGTTTTGAATCTCACAGCAAGAGTAGTTTTTAATCCCTCATTGCTGATTGTGACAGCTGTGTTATCATGTGAAATGCAGCTTGTCTTCCAGAAGTAAATGGTCTGCTTTCATTACTTGGGTATGTGAAACTCGTTTTAGTGGCATTTAACTACCACATAAATCATAGGTCTTGATCCTGAGGAGCACCCTGGAAGACTAGACTCTTGGCAGAAAATGGATTCTTTCTGCAGTTTGAAAGTGGTTGCTTTTGGTCTGTAAATGAATGGGTGATATGGTTAAATCATATTGCTTTGCATGTACCATGCAGAATAAGAGACTGTTACTTTTTTTGTGTATGCTTACCTTAGAAAATTCTGAATTAACTTGTGTACGGTCTTCTCAAGACCTCTGGCAAACATGCCTTATCCATGAACTGCTTCTTAGCCTGCTTGGATTAGTTGATTTTAAAAAAATAAATTGCAATACTTTTATGTAAGTCAGAGGTTCAAACTCATTGGTTATTTTGAGATATTGTCTCAGGCTATTTGAACTCTTTAGGAAGAGGTGACCCAAATGCAGAAGGGTGTGGAACAGCTTGCTTGTGGAAGGGTGAGCTATTTTACCTTTGAAGTCAATGAGCAGGCATAACTGTAAAGTATGAATGGAAACAGCAGAGCTGCAGAGCTTCAGTCTTGCCTGTCCTTGTGATGGAAGAATTGGGGAGGAAAGGCGTCTGGGGGGGCAGGGCAGGATTTGATAAATGAGGCCAAAAGTTAGAAAATCTGTAGCAATTAAAAGGATATCCTTTCCATGCATCATGTAATTAGACTGTGAAGCTCATCTGCTACAGGAGGTTGTTGAGACTATGAATTAAACAAGATTAAAAAAGGAATTGGACAGATGATAGCAAGTACAGATTTTTCTAAATATCTGTATAAATTAATACCCACTTTAAAAATTGATTGTTAGGATTAATCCCCAAATCCAAAGCTTATGTCTGATTAGCAAGCAGAAGGAAACTTGACATGTTCTTGCACATTCTTCTGGCTCATGAGATACTGTCAGAGACATGATGTTAGGTAGGGTTGATTTAGTATCCAATTTCCTGGCTTTTCCTCTACATGCTTGTAAAAGGAGTCTAGGGAGATTCATGGCTACTTAAAAGAAAAGTACAATATTTCATTTGCTTGAGTCCTGGATAATCCATAAAAGCAGTTTTAGGGAGTAGGGGTTTTAACATTAGGATTTATGACATTGCTTGTCCACATTGTGTGAATGTTTGAGAACTACAAATTTAATGTTATACTTGTTCCTGTCTATCACAGCTTTTTCTAACATTTTAAGTTTTTCAGTCCAGTTGGTATATATGCCTGGAACTGTAGTTTCATTTCCATTTTAAAATTATGTTGCTTTTTATTTACTTTCTTGCCAAAACCCCCTCAACCAACCCAAAACCTAAGTACACATGTCTTAAGTTTCCACACTTCTCTATAATAAAGTGCCTTATTTCTGAAACTTCATGTCCAGATTTTAATGTATTAATAAGAAAAAACTTTGCCTTTCCAGGATGGCCCCACCAAATTCAGTTTTTGGAGCTTCATCCCCTGTAAATGGGCAGTCTTTTGCACAACGTGTAGAACATCCATACAAAGATTAAACTATGCTCAGATACTATATTGCTATATTAGACTTGTAATAGGTCATATTAGAATTTAACTTTTGTTTTATCATTTACAAGGTGATTTTAGGTGTAAACCTGCTGCTTTGTAAATGTGTTACAATTTTGCTGAGGACCTGTACTTACTTCAGAGTTTAAACAGCAGAGTAAGCTTTAATGCTTGCAAGTGCTTACAGGAATAAAGAAGTTAATAGATCCTTTCGAAGGAGAATAAAAAAAGATGATTTGCCCCTCATCATGACAAAAAATTCTTGTATAATTCACACTTTACTGTTTCTGGAGCAGTTGGCCTTCTTAGTCCCTAAGCAGTGGGCATGAGGAACTGAAACTTCTGTTGCTGACTCGCTGGGGGTTCTACTGGGTGCAGGGAAAGCCTTAGGACTGAAGCAATTAGATGCAATCCAACAGTCGAACTTTGATTGTAACAACAGAGCAATTAACCCATCATTTACTTAAGCCTTACAGGTGTGGTTCCCAGTCCTGGCCTAGACATCCGTGGCAGGTGGCTTATCCTTGCTGGGAGTTTGTAAGCAGTTGGTCAAAGTACCCGAAAGCTCAAGAAGAAATACCAGTTTTCTTTTCATTTCTAAAAGATGGCACAATCCATTTATATTTCCTTACACATGCATTTGGGCAATAAAAGGTGAATGAGCAGTGGCATCAGTCAGCTTCAGTAATAGCTTGCAGAGGGGTATTGGAAAAGGTATTTGACTCATATTTTTCCTTCTGTTAATGTGCTTTCAATTTTGCGGTAGTCATGAACAAAAGGTGCCTGACAGTCTGTGCAGATCTGATATTTGAATTGTTCAAGATAGGGTTTGTAGGAGGCTGTTGTACCATCAAGACCCATTCTCTGTTTTCAATGCTAGTATTTTACTGTAATTCTCTACAGCTTTACTAGTATTCTCCCTGAGATCTTTAGTGGATAAGGATACTTCACGCTATAAATAGTGTTCTTTGTTTCATAGGCTTGATTTATTCTCAGAGTAAGCACAGCAGGGTCCTGTGAAGAAGATTATATGTTGGATTTTCATAGAGTGCTTCCAGAAGGAGGTTGAGTTCAAGTCACAGACTGCTTTTGATGAAGCATTTATAAATAGATTCCAAGAAGTTAATTTTCCTTGGACATACTCTTCTAATGTAATTTCCAAATAGGACTCAGACATCTGAAAAACAAATAAAACATTTGGGCCATATCTTCATTCCACAGCTCCATGATATCATTGTTGCTTGGTGTGTTAGTGCTGTGGGGGGAGCAGAGCATCCATATTTCTGGAAAATTTTTGTAGAATTTAGCTTTCAGAGGCTTTAAAGACGGCAGTGTGTCTCTGCAGAGGTGACTAGGAAGTTCTTAATTCCTCAGCAAATCCAGGCAGACTTTTACTGCTTAGCAAAAAGCTAATCTTGGCTGAATAGCAAGGTATTCTCTTCTAGATTTAAGTCCCAGTTCTAAAGCATCAAATAAGTAATAGAAGTTCTCGTTGAAATGGTTAAGATTAGATGATGGTGACAATGATGACATAAGCAAACACATTTCTGATTGATGTCATTCACTGAGTGCTGCACTGTTGTCAGCTGAAACTAAAAATTCCTGGCAGCAAAATGAAATGGCAAGTTCAGACCAATTAGTCTTGCATGGTAGGCAAGGCTATAACTCTGACTTTTCATGCTTTCAATTGCTAAAAATATTTTTTAAAAATCCCACTGCCACAAGAGTAACTACTGTGGAATGCTCTCAGTGGTGGGGAGTTTCCCACTTGTGTGTGTATGCAGCTGGCTGTGCTAGCTGTGGTTGGTTGTAGCTCAGCTCTGCAAGGCCCTTCTCTGTCCTGGTAAAGATACTCAGCACCAGCTGAGTCTGCTCTTGAGGAGTGATGTGTCTGAATGGGAATACCTTATTAGCCTAGACTTGGCATGCTCATTTTTCAGGTATTTTCAATATGTATGATATTACAGGTATTAAAGCTGAAGGTTTGTGCTTTGCTTATGGTAAGAAGTAGACCTGCTTTTGGGTGACTGGAAGATGACCACTGCATTTCATGGCCTCACCGGAAGTGAAGGTGGTCCTTGCCAAGAGGAGAGTATGTGCTGTTGAGTGGAGTAGCTATTGTTCTCTGCCCGTAGTAAAGGAGCTGCATTGTTTTTCAAATAAGCGTCCAAAAAGAAACAACCATGAGGAAAACCTGGCTATCTGAATCCTAAAGGTGTGTCTGCTCTTTGTGTAGATGGCTTAGTTCATAGCCTTGAGGCTGACTGCTGAAGTAGAATTTACTTGATTTGTCAGACAAATTTTTTGGGTTCCCTGGGTGTTTTGGTTTACTTCCACAATGAAGGAAATAAAGTGAGTATTCTCATACATTGTCCTCTGAGAGTATTTTACTGTTGGAAGACCCTGCTTGGCCACATGTGAAGAAATGATGAATGACGGGAGCTAGAGATTGTAATGATTCAAGTGTCTGCAAGAAATCTTCAATTGGACTTATCACAAGTATGAACAGGCAATTCTTAGGAAGCCTAAGTTGAATTTCGGGGTTCCTTAAGGTTTCAGCATGTTTTTATTGGTTAAATTTTTGACCTTAAGTGGTACCTGTATTATAAATTTTATAAATCTGAAGCGGAGAACTTAATATTGCGATGTAGTGATGGTGTGGTCAGTACTGTACAACAGTCAAAAGAAACCCAAAAGAAGTCCATGCTCCATGGGATTTGTGCTCTAAAAATAAAGATGATACAGTTCACATACATAATGGATGATCAGAAGACTTGCTACTAAGCAGTGTAGTTAGAATACTGATGGCTTTAATAGCACTTTTCATGTAGTGTTTAAAAAATAGTGGGTTTGATATGAAGTACTCCACTTCTATATTCTGTCAGTGGCTTAAAAGGTAGTTTGTAAAGCACTTAGCTCAGATAAGTTCTGAGGAATATCTTTTCTGATAATTAAACCAGTCATTGCATTTCTCATTTATCAGACTTTTTTTTTTCCTACTGGTGTTCTTTGGAATTGTACCATGGTAGTGTTTCTCATAATCATGACTCTGTACCTGTAATATAGAAAACTAAGAGGCCTTTTAAGTGGAATAAATAATTTTATATTTTACTTTTGGTGTGTAGACATACTGCCTGAAAAAAACCCCGGCTTCTTGTAGTCTTAATGCTTTTGCTCTTGTTATTCAGATTGTAATACAGGTCTGCTAGGTACCTGAGGAGTTTTACACAGAAGGCAGCAGTGAACAGTCTGTTATGAACCAAGGCTGATAACACATTAGTAGCAAATATGAGAGCCTTGAGTCTGTGCTTTTGAGTTCCCTTGGTCAGCTTGCTCTCCTGGCAGCCTATGTGAGATGCAGCTGTAGGACATAATGAAGTAACACTGAGTTCCAGGTCACCAGCAGCCTATTTCAATACCTGTTTTTAGTACAGAGCCTTTTAAAATAATGTTTACTTGATGATTTCAAAGAACAGCTGAGAATTTTTGCAGTAGGCATAACCGGTCTGGTGCTGTCAAATTGAAAAGGGTACACGAAGATATTTGGCTCTGAGATTATTTTATTACTCTTCTGGCTATAAAACTGAATTAGTAAGAAGAGAGTTCAACCTGTCACAGCTTATTGCAGGGATATTTTCCATTTCATTTTACTGCCCTTGGAGGATATGATTTCTCATTACGATAATTCAGTTAATTAGTTGTGATGTCTCCCTAACACCAAGCCACAGTCACTGTTTTGCTTTTATCAACATTAGGCTGATGCAGTGTAGCAGTGGAGGAAAAAAATCAAAAGCCCACAAAGGACGCATATGCACTTTAGATAAATTGTATGCACCTGTAGTAGACAGACACTGACATTAAGTAAGTCTTGAGATGACTGATAATCATGTTTGTGTGCTTGTAAAAACTTAATCCTCATGAACCAAGCGTCGAATGTTATGGCTGGAGATTAGTCACTGGTGGGTTTGCTTTGTTTGAGGGTGGTGTCTCGTTGTACAGGTTTGCTAAAGGATGCCGGGGCTGGATTGTGTCGCTCTGCCTGCGTTGACACTGCTTAGGCACAGAGCAACACAGGTCTCGTGTTTCAGCAAAGGCAGCTGTTCATCTTTGATCTTTGAGATCCTGACCACTAAAACTTCAAGTGGTTTTAATAAATGAGCAAGTGTCTGTGCATCAGTTTTGCCATGGCAACTGTTCGTAGCCTGTGATGAATATGACAGTTTAAAGTAGCTAAACTGAATGAAACAAAAGGATACGCTACCTTGTAACTAAGTTGGGCTAAAGCCTACAGTCTGGCAAGTAGAATAAGTTAATTGAAAGTGATAGGGTGAAGAGTCTTGAATCAGATGTAGGCATCCTTTTCCCTCTTCCTGGTCTCCTGTAACAGCCTTCTTCCTTCTGATTAGCTGTCGGGCAGGAGCATGGTTTTGAATTAGTGTAAACTTCTTGTCATACTGCACCTAATACGCTAAGAGTTAATAATATAGGTAGTTTCCAATTGACCTGTTTGTGCTGGTACTCTCTAAAAAAATTATCAGGTATGTGCATTGTTTCAGTGTAGATTAAAAAAAAAACATACTGCTTTCTTTAGCACAATGCTCTTTCTCAAATCATTCTTTTCGCTCCTGTGTTTCCTACAGGTGTTCCGCAAGGATCTCATTAGTGCCATGAAACTACCAGATTCTCACCATGTCAACCCTGATGAGTACTATGTCTTTGCGGACACGTGGAAACAAGAATGGGAGAAAGGGGTTCAAGTTCCAGCCAGTCCCGAAACTATTCCACAGCCTTCTCTCAGGTAATGGTGATCAGGCACAGATCATGTGCACAAAATGTCAACTCAGAGAAGATGGTCTCTCAAAAACAGATTGTCCAAATGCAGTCAGCTTTTCTCTGTTGTTATATTTAAATCTTCAATGCAGCAGCCTTCAGATGTTCTTAAGCCACACAAGTGCCAATTTGGAAAACATGTCTGTGGCACTTCAACCACAGATCTCATTCTGTCTGTACACTGTTATAGTATCTGCATCGTGAATTTAAAAAGATCTTTTTTCCAGATTAAAAGCTGTTTTTTCATTTGAGTATGGTAAATTGAATAAATTACAAATAAACCCATACCTTGTACACGTTACTTAAAAGGTTTCCCTATAAAGCTTGATAATATAGAGCACTAGGCATGCAGTAGTTACTGCTACCTGCTAAAGTTACTCATTTGTTCATATAGTTTAATTTTGGCTATTGTTGCCAAAGCTTTAACCCTTTCTGCCTTCTCTCACCACAAATGGCTACTTAACATTGTAGAAGTTCAGTGATCTCAGTTTCAGGAGATAGATAAATAGTTTTTTTTCTCTCACACTGTACCTAGACTAGGAAAACATAGCAATGTAATCCTGCAACTCTTCTGTGCATACTTCAACATAGAAATGTTATTGCCAGCATGGTCTTCAAGACAAAGATGAATGAATTGTCCAGTGAAAGCGCTGATGCCAGCATAATTTAATTTGCACTGAGGCCATTGTCAGTACCAAGTTATTAAAAATAAATATATTGCATCTCATACCAGCAGTATTATATTAGAAGAAAAAATTGCTATAGATTTGGCTGGACTAGAGAAAAGAAAAGCTCACAAGGGAATGAGAGGAAAAAATGATCAGGGTGAAGCAGGAGGAAGAATGGCAGAAGAACATTGTTTGTGTTAACACTGAGAACCCACGTTGTCCAGTAAGAATTATGTGGGATACAGCTTGACTGCTGCCTCCTCCTCTTTAATGCCTTATTTTCCACAGTTTTTCTCTTTTCCTTGTCCTTGTAGAGGGTTAGCTCCAGATAGCATGCAGAGCTGCACCACTCCATTCTGTATCTCTCTGGATTCCTTTTATATATAGGGCCTTTTGCAGTGAATTTAGAGAAAGATTGACTTTATGTAGTTTATTTTTCCCATTGCAAAATCAAACTAGTCAAACACTGAGTTTCACCTCTGGAAATAATTGAGAGATTGAGAATACAAATCTTTTTTTGCCTTGTTTCTTGGATGATTTTTCCCCTTTACAATTTTGCTTGGCATCATAATGTTTCTTGCATAACAAAAACAATGGATTGTAATGTGGATAAAGTGTTATTTACAAAATAAGTATAGGCAGTGTATCCCAAATGGAGAGCAAGGATTTTTCCCACACACAGATACTACAGTAGAATAAATTAGCTTTCATGCAAAAGCTGGTATTTTCAAGAAATCGGTTGGTGAGATTTCCTTCTATCATTTAGGAGGAATATAGAACAAAGATTGTAGTGATTTTGTGCATAATACTTCCTGTGGGTTTCAGAAACACTTGCTTCATTGCAATAATAGCATTTGTTAAGGTGAAAATCATATGCACTGGCTTACATTTTAAAAAGGATTCTGTGTACGTAGCAAACCTTGGAACATTTTGTGTGAAAAAATGACATTTACAAAATCTTGTCTCCCTAGCCTGGCTACACTTACTGGATAGTTTAAAATCTGTGAAACACCAGGTTTCTTTGCACTTTTAGCAAATATTTCATGTCTTTCAAGGGTGAATCTTAAAAAGCTGTAACTATTTCTTGTTTTATTTTCACTCTAGGGTTGTAGCAGAAAAAGTGAAAGAAGTACTGTATACACGACCGAGGAAATACATCCACTGTTCCAGCCAAGAGCCCACAGAACCAGGTTACATCAACATTTTGGAACTGGCAGAATCTGTGTGTCGCTATGACTTGGATGATATGGACATCTTTTGGCTTCAGGAGCTAAATGAAGAGCTGACAGAAATGGGTAATTTCACAACACGTTCTAATTTTAAAAGCAGCAGTTAATTTCTACCGTTTGAATTGTAGTCTGCTTGTGAGGTCTTTTAATGATTGCTGAATGAGAATTGAATACAAATGCTAAGAAAAACATGAGGTAAAAATGTAATTAAAGTAATTACTTGCTTGATCTGTTAATGTTTTATATTTTACCTGTTGGACCTAAAAACTTTTTCACATCCAAAATCATGTGCAACTTCTGCAGACTGAAGCAGGAGGGAAAAAGCCACACCAGGTAAAATTAAGACTTCAAAAGTTTAAGGTTTTTTAAGGAAAGGAGATGTTTTCATTTCTTAAGTTTGAACATATTATTGCTACAAACTCAGAGTTCTGAGGAGCTTGCATCCTGGGTTCTCAACAGAGTAATTGAGTTTCACACGTTAGCCCATTTAGAATCAGCTAAGTAAACATTCTTTTTCCATGCATGTTGTTGGTATAGAGTGCTATGAGCAGGAGTGAGCTATGTAAAATAACCTTGGAATTATCGCTAGAATAACTATGGTGGAATAACCTGTATGTCTAGTATTCTTCCATGGATGATTGCAGATCCTTTAGGAAGGATAAGTGGACAAAAGAGGGAAATATTTTGCATCTCCTGGATTTGCTGTTACCAAAAAAAAGGAAGAACCTGTAGGGATGTGATAATCAACGGCAGCATTATCTGTAATAGGTATAAAATAGTGGTGACTGAGATCCTGAGGGGAGTGAGGAGAGGAAGTAGTTTTTCTGGTCCTGGGCTTCAGGAGAGCAAGTTTCTACTTATTCAGGTAACTGATAGGTGGGATCTGAGAGGCAGCTCTGAAGTGCCAAAGGATGTGGATGTAAGAGGTAGAAGCCAGGACAAACTTCCCAGGCATACAGGAATGCTGTTAGCAAAAGCTGTTAGCTTTTCAGCGGAGCAGATCTCCCATCTGTGGAGATTTTCAAGATCTGACTAGATATGTCTCTTGAGCAACAGCCTTTGCTGGATTTCCTATTGACTCTGCTTGGAGCCAGGGACTGGGCTGAAGCCCTCTAAAGGACCCTTCCCACCTGAATGATTTTGTAAATCTTTTAATTCTGGAAGTGAGAAAATACGGGGGCATGAGAAAGAACAGTTTAAGAGCAGAAGGCACTTTTTAACAGCAGTCATTTATCTTTTCCATCTCCATGTTTATCGTTTGTAAAGAGGATTCAGAGTTAGTAGCCTTAGTTAAAATATTAGCCTCTGCTATTAATGGCTCATGAATACCCCAACGTTCAAAGGTCTAAGTAAATAGTGAGCTGTGAGCATCATCATTATTTTTGACAAATATTTTGATAAGGTGCAGGTGGGAGATTTCTTACAGCTATGAGCATTGTAGGGTTCCTTAGCCTACATCCTGAAGCTGCAAGCCAAGGACCAGTCTCATAGCAAATCCTTGGTCCTTCTTATGCTAAGTTTGATTAGTGGGGAGGGTATATAGCATGTCTAGTGTTCAAGTGAACAGATAGTATGGATTGCAACAATATATTTATCTACTATTCTATTTTGAAAAACCCAACAAAAAAAATAAAAGCACTTTTCATAACTGTCATGCTTTAATCACTCAAGTAGTGTACTAGATAGCAACTCCTGTATCTTTATAAGATATGAAGTGTTCTTTGTAGGTTTTATTTCTTAGGGAGTTAGCCTTCAGAAGAACATACTGTGTGGTTTTTGGATCAGTGTTTCTTAAAGTGCAGGAAGGGTTGTATGGGAGCCTCTAGCAGTTACAGCAAATGCTGTCTCGTTTATGTTGTAGTGTTTTCTCCAAGGTTCGATCTTGTGGTTTATGTACAGTTTAAACTTTTACTCCAGTAGTAGTTCTGCTGATATTTATAAAACAATGCTACAATTAGTCTGTGAGTGAAAAAGCTTTTCTGTTTTTCTTTTATTTTTAGATGCTGTGTCTACTGCAGTAGTTGCTAGAAGTTGTCTTTTTCTCTTCCTGTTTCTCTGACTCAATCAGAAGCACCTGACTGTCCTCTAATTCCCCTTCCTTTTCTGTGTTGTAGGATGTGGGCCCCTAGATGAAAACACAATGGAAAAGACAATTGAAGTGCTGGAACGGCATTGTCATGAGAATATGAATCATGCGATTGAGACTGAAGAGGGGTTGGGTATCGAATATGATGAAGATGTCATCTGCGATGTGTGCCGGTCCCCCGACAGTGAAGATGGGAATGACATGGTGTTTTGTGACAAGTGTAATATTTGTGTCCATCAGGTTAGTGCCTGCAGAAATGTTGACACCATCCCATAGTCTAAGTTTACCTAGGCAAGTGTGGAATTTGAACTGGTATTCAATGTTAATTGGAGAACTCTGTAGTTTTCTACGTATGAAGGATCATGCAATACTAAGGTGAATTTTTTGACCCCAACAGTTACAGTAGATTAAGTGGCCTAGCTTAGTTAATAAGTGGACAGCTGCAGTCTAACAGGAATGCAAAGTGTGTTTTTGGGACTTGCAAGTACTTCCTCTGTGACCATAAGCAATTTTTCCCGTTATGACTAAACCTGCTTTTGAAGATAAACGGGGCAGGAAATACTGGCTTACCTATTTGTGAGAAATCTAAAGATCACTTGTTTCAGGACTGTCCGAATTTAGCCATCTTAAACCACGTGTGGCACTTTAAAGAGTGATCTCTTTCAGAAAGCATCAGCACCTGCGATAGCCATGCTCTTGGTCTGAATGTTGCTCACATTTATAGTGTTTCAGAAGTAGCTAAAACTTTACACTGACTGAGCTCAGCGTAGTCAGTCAGAGGTATCAGAAAAGGGATATGAATCCTGTGGTTTCTGTGCATCCTGTTCTGGAAGGGGGTTTTGCTGTGAATTGAAAAGAGACCAAGAAAGTTTTTTTAAAAATGTATTTTTCTACTGACTGCAAGCAGTACTCGGAAAACATATCTGGCTGAAAAAGGACCTGTCATCTCCTTACTCTCAGTGGGCTGGCTGCCAGCCCAGCTGCTTTCCTGATCTGATTCACCGCGTGAAGCAGCCACGTGAGCCTGAGTTGCCAGCAAGGTGACAGGAGTACAACCGGCATCTGGGCTGCCTGCTTCAGTCTTTGCTTGTGCCTGTTTAGAAGTAATGATGGATTTGCAGTCAAAGGCTCATGGTTGCCTGCTGACAGCTGAGTTTGAGCTGATGGTCTGCTGCCTCCTTGCCCCTCATTCTTCCCCACGCTGAATCTGCCTGAAACCAACTGGGGAACATGTCTGGGCTAGAGCTAATCCTAACAATAACAACAACTCATCTGATTTTTAATCTGGATCAGCTTTGGTTGAACAAGTAGCCTCAGGTCTGTTTGTCATCACGCAGTTAGGAGGTGGAGGGCAGGAGGAGTGTGAGAAAATTCCTCCTTTGTGGTACCCTCTTGTGCTGGCTCAAACACGTTGTGAAATTACTGGTTTGGTAGTCTGGGCATCCTCCTCTTATTAGTTGGTTTAAATTAGAAAATAGTTTCAGTCCACTTCCAACCCCCTAAATGTGATCTTAGGTGTAATGCCACTTCTGCTGTAGTAACAGAAAGAATTCTGGTGGGAATGTGCCACAGAAGAGGAAAAAAACACTTGTAAAATTTAGATTACAGCTCCCCCTGTTGGGCTTTTACAACAGTTGTCACATAAAAAAAGCATTTAGGTTAGTCAGTCTTGCCGAATTTAATTCAGGAAAGTTCCCCTTTCCATAAACCTGACATAAATGTGCAGTGTTTTATGATATTGCTTCATATTAAATACTTAAATACTGAGATCTTAGAAAGATGAGAAGGTAAGTGTGGTAATTTTATACTAGATTTAATCTGAAAAAATTTACAACTAACGATCCTTTTCTGTTGAGTCTTCCAATGTTACTATTCCCAGAAATGGTGAGGTTTCCTCTGAAATCCACCCTTTTGATAAAACTTTTATTTGGAGTGCTTGAGTGGACTTAGGCCTTGGTGGCAGCCAGTTGTTTCAGATACACTCAGCTTAATAGGTGTGTGTGTAGGTACAGTAGGATCCATTGTGATTCCATTAAGAACCATGAGGAATTTGAATTGGAAAGAATTTTTTAAATTCTCAATCCTAGCAAAACTTAAGCAATTTCTCATTTTCTACATGGTTAAGAGCAATACTTGGGATATAGGCATAAGACCTGGCACCTCATAATTTCAGTACATGCTGTAATTTTTGTTGCAATATTATATAAATATTTGAAGTAACAAACAATGCACAGAACCGTAGCCACAAAAGTAATTTAATGTTGTAGGAAACTTCCTTCGGTCAAACAGCTTATATCCCTTCACATCTAAATAGAATTATGTTGAAGTGTAAAGTTTTTAGCAGTAGGAAACTGTGATTTTAAAAAGTACTGAATGCAGAAGCTAACTTAAAGAAATGTCAATGTTGTTTGCTTTGGAAATTTAAAAATCACTAAAAGAAAAAACCGAAGGTTCTTAACACCAGGGCTGTTGAGCAGTCACAATGGATATGTTTTACAGTGAAAACAAGTAATACCAGCACACATTCTAAAAAGAAACCAGGGTAAAAAGATTGCTTTTGAGGCTGTTTATCTCTTTGATCACTTGACTCATTTTAAGGTGAAGAAATCACAGAGGGATTAAGTGAAGGCCAAATTGTGCCTTTACTTTTTGAAAGCTTTGCTCTGTATGAATATTAATGCTTGTGTGTGAAATAATTTCCACATAACGATTTCAATATCTGTTCTTCAAGGCGTGCTATGGAATCTTAAAAGTACCCGAAGGGAGCTGGCTGTGTCGCACCTGTGTCCTGGGAATACATCCTCAGTGCCTCCTGTGTCCCAAAAGAGGAGGTGCCATGAAAGCTACCAGGACAGGGACCAAGTGGGCACATGTGAGCTGTGCTCTTTGGATTCCAGAGGTAAAAACCTAATTTCTGTCTCTGTCCTCCTCCTTCTCGTTCCCTTCTCTGCCTTTTTATGCTCTCGTGATTTAAGGTATCTGTCTGGCATAATACTGGGCTTTACTCTGATGGGTCTGCACAGTCTGTGAGGACCGGGAGAGAGTCCAGCTTATGTTCTATTAATGAGTCACTTTGTCACCTCCATTTACTCAGCAGTCACTTCTTAGTGACATTGCGGTACCTGAGTGACCTGTGAGAAGGAGTTACTGATGTAAGCTGCATCTTACAAATACAGTTTTATTGTCTCTTATTTTTGATAAAGTCAAAATAAGAGACTTTGTGTGCTCAGATACATGTAGAATTTGCACAAATACTTCTACTTTTTTCTTTGTGTTGTTTTGGGTTTTTTTATAATTATTTATTTAAAGAACCCCTCTTTGCATTATTTCTTTAGGATGTATGCTAAGATTTGTAGCTAAGGTTTCTTTGAACTAAAATTTTTCTGAACAGTGGGGGAGATGTGACCTTTTATCTCTGTTATATTTTATAAGTAAAGGCTTTTTTGATATATCTGAGTATACATATATGGAGAGTTTCATAATGAAGTTTTACACTTCATTTTGAATCAAGTTTAGCATCACAGTATAATTCTGTAAAATGGAATGTTCACTTGGGTATATAGAGTTTGCGTTTAATTTTGCACTTGGAATATTTATGCTTTCTTTCTGGTAAGATTCACAAATCCATTTTGGTGAGTGATTTAATGTGAGGCAGTAGCCAGATATGTCAGTGCTGTGACATCAAGGATACCGTATTTTCTGAGCCTTCTGTTCCTAAGTGCAGCCAAGCCTCATTCGTGCAAAACTTTGAGGAAGATGTTGGGATTCTGGGTATTTTTTTTACTTAGCAACTAGATGCAGTCTGTAATTCCTAGCTGTCTTGGGTATATATCTGCTTTCTAAGGAGGTTATCTTTGAAGTTGCACTCTTCCTTTTGGGCCTCCTTGTAGTTCCTGGCATCTCTTCTACCTTCAAGGAGAAAGGAGTTGAGAAAGAAAACCCATAGATTTATTTTCAAATTAAAAAAAAAAAATCTCTTCTCCTCCTGTACTTAGGACGTGACTTGGCTGGAAGCTTTCCTGACTCTGAACAGACTGGTTTTCCTAAGAGGTCCTTTCAGTGTGTGATTGCCTTGCTGTTCTCACTAGTGGAAGAGGAACAGCGAGGTTTGGGAAGCAGGTGACAGCAGGGCAGGAAGCACACACTGGCTTCCTGCCTGTCCACCTCCCTCTGATGAGGGAGAGAAGCCACTGGGAGAGTACCCAGGTGGGAAAACTGGAATCCGGCTTCTTCCATAGCCCATTCAGTGAATCCCAAGCCTTGGGCACCTCCTCCCCTTCGCACCAATGCCAAGTGTGTTGGGTGTAGTGAGGAGATGGTACCTGCCAGTAGGGATGGGAAATGCCTCTTGGATTCATTCAGTCTCTCAGGCTTGTGCATTGTCACTTGTAAAACAATTCAGTCACCAGAGAAACCTTTGTGAATCTTTGCTAAAACAGCACATCAGTTCCTGTCTGGAGAGTCAGTGTGGCTTTACATGCTGCAGGGGGGAAGAAAGACCTAGAGATTAAAGACCTATGTATGGATGCTTTAGAGGAGAATGTGTATTCTCATATTTTTCCTCTTCCCAAAATAGTAGCATGCTGGAACTCCCCAGAAAGCAACAGATTAATTATAAAGTCACTGTCATTTCCTCTTGTGGCCCTAACAGAGTAGAACAAGGCATTATGCAGAGAGGAAGGGGCTATAAACATGTCTGTCTTCTAGCAAAAGGTTCAAAGAGGCTTCGTGAGTCACCAAGTGTAGTCTAGCATTGTTGCAGTGAAATGCAGCAGGTATTTTCCTTCATTAACTTATGCATTAAGTTTCCTTCATTAACTTTTTCCTTCGTGCCTTCCTTGTGCTTTAATGGTGTTGAGAGGCTTTCTTGACCCTCTCTTTACTGATTGGGGTGTTTGAAGATTTTTACTTTCCAAAGCGTGCTCATTGTTGGTTTAAAACCATTTATTCTTCTGCTTTTACTGTCCTTTAGTCTAAATGTGTGGTCTATTTCATGTTTTCTTAAAAGGCATTCTTCTAAATAAGAAAAGGAAACACTGATACCAGAAAACATATACTGAGTGTTTTGAAATTCCAAGTCCTTCTCTGCCTTAGATAACCCATTACAGTTACATCCTCTGTCAGTCAGTGTGATGTTAGCTGAAGCAGCAAATGATAACCCTCCCAGCTGTAGAGGAAAGATAAAATTTACTATCCTGTTGTGAGTGACCATGCTCGTGGCACTGAGCTGCCCTTCCCAGCCACTGACGTAGATCTGCAGCTGTTGGTGGCAGGTTAGCAAGGAAGCAGAGGACAGCAGGGGGATGATCGTGTGCATGACAGTTGCAGATAGTGGGCTTCACAACCCATTGTTTTCACTTTCGCACACTCTTAAAACTTCTTCGGAGTGTAGCAGTCAAGATGTAAGTCAAGGTGAAGAAATAGAGAAAACAGCTACATCTTACAGCAGATGGATCATTTCTGCCTTGGGGTGGTAGTTTTTGGGGAATGAAGAAGTTGGCCTGTCTGCTCTCTGGATCCCTTGTGAGTAGCAAAGTTCAAACAGACTTTGCCTTGACTTCTCTCTTTGAATATCAGAAACGTGCAGATGGCACGAGGCCAGTATAAATAAATTGCACCTGACTCTGTAAGTGCCTCTTTGTGCTTTTACAAAGTGGGGTAATACCAACAGCCAGCATTACAAGCTGAATGGTCAGTATTTCCAATATAAATGTTTCTTGACCTCATGAGTCTCCTCCGGGGAAGGAGGAGGGAGAGCATTAAAGAGGGACAGGGAGGAGGTCTGTGTCAATTTTCAAGTCCTGCTGGGAAGCACAGTGGAAGCTGGTATTACTCAGTCTCCAGAAGAAGTCACTGAAGATTCTGGTTTCTTTTTGAAATGAATGTAGACAACCTGATAAATTGATAAAATCCCTTAATTCTCAAAGGAAATCTTGCCTCTTAGCGTAGTGGTAACAGTCAATCTTTGTACAATATTGTTTCAGAAACACCTGTGTGACTTGTAACCAGCTCTGTTTTGAGCAAGGTGAAGTTAGGTTCATGACAGGCTCTTTCCTTTGGGAAGCAAAAAAGCTACATTTGATGATGTTTAAAAGTGCTGGACATGATTTGTTGAACTATAGGCATTCCAGGGATAGCCTCGTCACTTTTCCACCAATTTACAGAAAGGCCACAATAGGTTCAATTGCTTCTCATCTCTACCTGATGAGGGCATCACATATTGCCTTGTGTTCTCCTTCTTGTCTGGTAAAAGCTGAACCCTCTCTAAAGCATCTCACTGTCTTCCTAATGAAGACTTTCAGAAGTGCCATGCAGCAGGTTGACTATATTCCAGAAGATGTGGGCTTGCAGTTGGGAGATGAGAGGGTGAAGTACTGTAACAAACATATATCTTATTTGAGTCAATTTATTCATTAATTCGTGAACTGCTGGTCAGCTGTTTTTTTTAAATGTGGAAATGATGAACCAAATAAACTCTTGAAAAGCTGTTTTTTCCAGCTACTTAAATGATTTTTAAAGCAATGCATGATAAGGAGAGTAGCAAAAATACTCTGAGCTTAGCAACTATGACTTACCACTGCAATCTTTGGGTAAGTCTACCTCACTGAGGAGGTCTGCTGAAGCAAAGCCTTTCCTCCTCAGGGATTAAGCAGGTTTTAAAATGAATATGTGTGTCAAGTCATTGATGGTGTACCCTCAAAGGGAAGCTGGGAAGTTCCACTTTGTCTACTAGCTCTTGTAAAGTCACCGGTTTAATTATCACATGTTAAACTAATTCATAACCTGGATTTCCCTGCGTGACTCTTAGTGTGAAGGTAGTCTATGAAAATTACTGTAGCATAATGCTCTTAAAGTTTTCTAAAAAAACCAAAATAACTGTTCAAATCTCAGCCTTAACTGTTTTTTTAACTAATGAGCTTTATTCTGTCTCATAGTGCCACAGAGCATGACCTAGGAACCTCCTTTCTTTGAATTCTTAGGTCTGACCCCTTTGAGAAGAAGCCCCTCTCCCACCACAGGAAATACAAGTCTGCCCCTGTTCAGGTGAATTGTTTCTAGGAAGTATGGAGAGCTAATACTAGCTTCCTAGCTAGTATTAGCATTTTCATTTGGCTTCAGACAGGTAGCCTTGCAAAGCACACAACTGCTTCTTCAAAAAGTGCTGTGTAACTGTCAAAATGCTTGCTTCTGGAGACTGGTGTTCTTGGGACACAGTTATCCCACTGAAATCTTTTGCTATGTGCCATTCTCATACTGGCCCAGTTCTGCATGTTGATCATTCAGAGCTGGCCAAGTTTTTGTTTCTTTGCCTTGGATAAATCCTTTTTGTCAGGAGTGGCTCAGGGATGTCTAGAGATATAATTTATGTCTGTTTTGGTGTCCTAAACATGGAGGACAGTCCTTGTTTCCCTGTACAGACAACAGGCAGTTGAGAAACTTCCATCACAATGGATATATGGAAGTTAGTATAACAAAGAACAGGAAAAGGTATTCTGTGCGCATCTGAATTTTTTTCTTTCTTTTAGTAATAACATCCATTATCTGGTCTACCAGGGACAAACAGATCATCCAGACTAAGTATGTGAAAACTAGCACAAGAGAATATATCGTGCTTTGCAGTAAGAGAAGTTTGTTGTATTCTTTCTCAAATTATACTTGATGCAATCTGTGGTTAGGAGAGTGTATTAGGATCATGTCTTGCAGTGGGAGTTTTTGGTGGAGAGGCAGAGCTGGGAATCGAGGCTTTCCCTGGCTGCTGACTGATAAATCCGTTCTGCCTCAAATTGTGAGCTGGCAGAAGTAGACACTGTAGCAGATCTGGGGCTTTTATAGAGGGAACTTTTCAGGAAAGCGTTCCTATGTTGTTCTGAGTAGCTTGTATTTTGGTACTTTTTAAGTTAGATCTGTGAAATGGCACAGAAAACAAACAAAAAAACAAAAAAAAAACCCAAAACCCACAAGGGAATGGAAATAAACTTAAGTACTTACCACCTACTGCAGTCTCTCAACAGGTTGTTGTGGTTTAGGAATGGTATTCCCCAATTTAGTGTTCCCCCTGAAGCACTCCAAACCATGTGCTGCTTGCTCAATCCCCCTTCCTCCTGCTGTGAGCTGGAGCAGAAAATTGGAGGCACAAAGGTAAAGATCACTGGTTGAGATGAGAACAGTTTACTGGATACAGCAATGGAATATGAAGAACAAAGAGTAACAACTATGCTCTCAGTGACAGAAGGAACTGACAATACCCAACTGCCACGCTTACCCTAACTGAAAGAGAGCCCTTCCCCCCATCCCCAGAAAATGATGTGAGGTGGTTAGAAACAGGACATCATCCACCCCTCATTCTGTACAATCTACGTCATGCCCAAATCCTTCACCTTAGAACTATACTATATATATATATGTATATATATTCCAGCATGTCTGGCTCAGCAGCACTCAGTGGTGGTGCAACTTCATTCAGGCCATGATAGAGCACTGTCAGTCTCCACTCTCCAGTGGACTTATGCTGGCTATATAGGACTATTAAAGGGTGAGTGAGTCTTGCTGACCACTCCCTGACTCTCCAGTTCATGAATCATCTCATGGATGGGGGTCACGGAGTCCCAGTTAGTGCGGTATTGCACTGTTGTGGTAGCGCTTGGTACTTTGTTGTTCTTCGACCTTCAGCAGTCCTACAGTGGAAGGGTCATCTGAGAGATCAGGCAAGGTACTCAGCTGTCTAATTTCTTCTGTCTCCACAGCAGCTATCCCAAAAGCCCAATGGTGCCCTTAGGTTACCATAGAGGTAATCTATGCCAAGGATACATAGGGCCTCTGGCCAGTCACAGTGGGGGGTTTTTGCCAGTCATTCCCAGTCAAGCTCACTTCAGCTTCCAGTACAGTCAACTGTTGTGATCCCCCATCACCCCAGAAATAGAGATAATTCTGCTCCTACATATCTCGCTTGCTTGTTTTTATTGCCTTGGTAACTGTTTTCCATGCTGATTTTTTTGTTTACAGGTTAGTATTGCTTGCCCAGAAAGGATGGAGCCAATCACCAAGGTGTCTCACATTCCACCAAGTCGATGGGCTCTAGTGTGTAGTTTATGCAAACTGAAAACTGGTGCTTGCATTCAGGTACGTACTTGTCCTGTAGTGACTCTGCAGGGTAAGTCTGTGTCAGAAGGGCAATTTTTGTATTGCATTTTGTTCTTCCAGTGTTCAGAGGTGCTTTACAATGCAGATGACCACTGAGTAGATATCTACTTCTTCATAGCTCTTTTCTATCAAATTAGTTGACTAGCACAGAGATTTAGGAATTAGCCTGGATTGCCTTCCTTTCAATAAGGCTGCAATGTCTAAGAACTACTACTGTGTGCATCAGAGATGGACAGAAAACTCCTTCTGTTGAACACTTTGCGAACAAGAAAATACTAAATTGGGTGAAGCCAACTTCAAAGGTATCAACAGATATTTTTAAGACTGTGTAGAAAATAGGGTTTCGTAGGGATGGACTTTCATGTAATTAAGATAATTATGTCCTTCTTTTCTGGTTTGTTGTTTTTCTGTTAGTAACTGAGGTCTTTTGTTTTATTTTGTCTGCAGTGTTCCGTGAAAAGCTGCATCACTGCCTTTCATGTCACCTGTGCCTTTGAGCATAGCTTAGAAATGAAGACTATCCTGGATGATGGGGATGAGGTCAAGTTCAAGTCATATTGTCTAAAGCACAGCAAGAACAAACAAAATTCGCTGCCTGATGTTGAGGAGCACCCCAAGAGCGTGTCAGAGCAGAAGCAAACAGAGAGCGAGAAAACGAGTTTACGAGCCCAAAAACTCAGAGAGCTGGAAGAAGAATTTTACTCATTAGTTAAAGTGGAGGATGTTGCAGCAGAGCTGGGCCTTCCTAAACTTGCTGTAGATTTCATCTACAATTACTGGAAATTAAAGCGAAAAAGTAACTTTAACAAACCATTGTTTCCTCCCAAGGAGGACGAAGAAAATGGCTTGGTGCAGCCAAAAGAAGATAGCATTCATACTCGCATGAGGATGTTCATGCATTTGAGGCAGGACCTAGAGAGGGTAAGAATTTAACTGGTAAAGTTTTGAAAAACTATTTGCAGGTGAGCAAGGTCTTTGTGGATGAAAGTGGGAGTGGGGAAAGCAAAGGGAGATGATTTTAAAAATAACTATTTAAAAGGTTCAGAAAAAAGTAAGGCCTTCAACTTCAGTCTTTTGATATGCTGCACTGCCTGCTGCAGACTTTCAGAAGTTGTCCTCTCTCAGTCCAGTGAGAGATTCAGTGCTTCCTGACTTGCTTAGAGGTTATTCCTTTATGTATTTTAAGATGCATGTTTCTGTGCACAATGTACATATTTGGTAATTGACTCTCTGATTTCAACTTGAATTGTGTAAATGTTTAAAAAAAAATGAGGTTTTTCAGCATTTGCCTGCATGGTTTGGAGTCAAGTAGGTGATATCCTAGGTGGTTAAATTCCATGGGGACTTTTTGGCTCCACACATGCAGAAGCAGAATGCTGGGCCTGTACTCGTACCACTTCCCATGACATCTGATTCAGGAGTCTTAGTCACATCTCTTCCTCTGGTGTCAGGTTGTCCCAGGTAGCAGGCAGACTGAGTAACTCATTGCTCTCTAGACCTAGATGTTCTCACTGCATGTAGCTGCCTTAGGTCCTAGAGCGAATTAGCGGTCTTAACATAACCCTCTGTGTCTGCCACTGCTCGTGGCTTTACTGAGAAGGAGGTAAAGGAAGGTATTTTTCATCAGTAGCTAGCTGGGCTCTTACCAGATTGCAGCTAGACAGTAGTTTGGAAAAAAGGAATCCATCAGCAAAAATCAGAGCAGGGATTATTAGGAAGGTGTACAGAGTGCATTTTTCTGGCAGCTGATGGAGGAGGAAGCCAGACTTGTTACCACTTGGAGGCTGCCAATAAGGTTGACCTGTTGGGTAGTGGTCAGCTGCAGTTTTCAAGTGCTTAGAGATAGGTAGGAAATGTAAAAAATAAAATAGATGTGGTAAATTTGATGAGAAGAGGGGTAGCAAAAGCAGGAGAGATGTAATAATGTTGTAAGAAAAAGGGGAAACAGTACTGGGGAGAGAACAACGTGAAAATACAGGGAGATGAGTGTTGGAGCCAAGATTTGTACTTGTCAGTGTAACTGTTGTCTTGAATCTAGTCATAATCAATCTCAGATCTTTTCCAGGACTACTTTGGATATGGAACCTTATTTTAAAAAAGAATTAAAACCTGTGCTTCAGATGGAGGGTTGGTATTTTGGGGTGGGTTGTTTTTTGTTTTTCAAGAGACCATTTCAGGCTTTTGTTTGATAAATGTTTGCTTTGCATCAAATTTTGTTGAAATTGATGTACTTATGGAGGTGATTCACATTTTGAAATGCCTGTCTCAAAGTTTTTGAAGTTCCCATGCTATAAGATTTTCTACCCTGTTTTATTTTGGGATAAATATAAATTTGGGAATCTTAGAATTTTGTTTTGGGGTGGAGAGGTACCAGTTTTGAACAGGTAGAAGTGAATGCTGGGTGAGGTACATTTGACAGATACCTTTCAACCAACCCCTACACTGTTTCTCTGTTTTGAAAGGACTTTTAGGTGTTTATCAAGAATTTTCAGTGCCTCTTCCTATTCTGAGTACATTAGGTGAAAATGTTGCTATTAACTCAAACAAATAGAAAAAGTAGAATTACGTGGAACTGAATCACAGAATGGTTTGGGTTGGAAGGGACCTTGAAGACCATCTAGTTCCAACCACCTGCCTTGGGCAGGGATACCTTCCACTAGACCAGGTTGCTCAAAGCCACATCCAGTCTTGACTACTTCCAGAGATGAGGCTCCCACAACTTCTCTGGGCAAGCTGTTCCAGTGCCTCACCATGTTCACTGTAAAAAATGTCTTCCTTATACCCAATCTAAACCTACTTTCCTTCAGTTTAAAAGCATTGCCCCTTTCTCTGTCACTACAGAATCTGGTTTCTCTTGCTTATAATCCCTTTTCATATATTGAAAAGCTGCAGTAAGGTCTCCTCAGAGCCTTCTCTTCTCCAGGCTTAACAACCCCAACTCTCTCAGTCTTCAGAAGAGAGAAGTTCCAGCCCTGTAACCATTTTTGTGGCCCTCCTCTGGATCTGCTCCAACAGATCCGTGTCTTGTGCTGGAAATGCCAGAGCTGGATGCAGCGCTATGGATGGAGTGTCACCAGAGCAGAGCAGAGGGGCAGAACCACCTCCCTTGACCTTCTCCCATGCTGCTTTTGCTGTAGTTCTGAGCTGCGAGTGCACATTGACGGGTCCTGTGCAATTTTTTACTGACCATTGTCCCCAGGTCTTTCTCCGCAGGGCTGCTCCCTATCCCTTCATCCCCCAGCCCACACTGATCCTGGGTATTGCCCTGACCCAGAAACAGGACCTTGCGTTTGGCCTTGTTGAACCTTATGAGTCAATTCAATGGAGTCCAAAAAGAAACTGTTAAATGGGTCAGCCAAAATGAAAATATATTCTGTTGTCTTGTGAAATGTATTCAAGGCATACATTGAATTGACCATTTAAAAAAAAAAAAAAAGGAATTTTTTTCAAAATTGATAGTTATGTATGTTCAGTAATATCCATAAGAACTTTGCCAAGGGATTTTGCACATACTGTTGTTTTGACACTTTTTAAATTATGTCAGGTTTTATTTTCTTATTGCCTATTAAGTCTCCTGTTATTCCTCTGTAGGTAAGAAATCTCTGCTACATGGTAAGCAGGAGAGAGAAACTGAAGTTGTCCCACAGTAAAGTACATGAACAGGTCTTCAATTTGCAAGTCCAACTCATTAATCAGGAAATCGCTGCAGGTAATCATATAAATGTAAAATATTTACAAATTCTGCATGTATTTAAACTAAAACAGTGTGTTCTCTGTGTGTTCCTGCTTAGTGTTTTTAACACATAAAACTGCCTTGAAAAACTTTCTTCAAGTACACAATCAATGGAAGTAACAACACACAGAGAACTCTTTAATCTCTTAAAATATTTACTTGAATATTTCTTTATTTTATGGCCGTTCCCAGTATATGCCTATTGCTTATTATTACACTGTGGTATCCAGATAGCAGAAAGGAACTGATGATGATCTCTTAGGTTTTTGCTTCCTTGGGCTACTGGTCTATGGCACTGGTTCCCCACAGCAAGCTCTGCACTGGTACTTGGTTCTCCAGCTGAGAAAGCTTTTTTTTCTTGCTGTCAGAAGTTGTTTCCTTCAGGCAAGAGAGAAGAGTGACTGATAGGAATCACTGCTGTTCTCGTGGTGCCTCACGAGCAGCACAAAGAGGCATTTCTTAGCTTACCATCTGCAGTTGCTCTCCTTCCTTCAAAAAGAGTTTAAGTACTCTTGTTATTAATAGTGACTAGTAACTGTTTAGGAATGCTGAGGTGCCAAACCCCATTCTGCCCTTCACTTCTATAGCAACTTTTTGAAATAAGGAGCACATTTTGAAAGAGGAGAGTATGCATTACAGTGTAATTAGTGTGGGATTTTTAATAGGGAGGGCAGCTATTTTTCTGTGCCAAGTTAAGATCTCTCTGGTCTGTCAAAAAACATATTGTATTTTTAATGACTAGTTTAGGATGAAGTCTTTGTGCTTTTTTTTCTCTACCCCTGAAACATGGATAGGTTTCATTAATACTGATAAGATAGGTTTTTTGACCTGTTTTAAATAAGACTAGTATGCTGTGGAAGCAGCAGTACTCTGAAGCACTTTGATTTTGTGTTAATGTATTTTAGTAGAAATATCTACTAAATTTATTTTATGTCTTTACAAACACAAGTGATTTTTTTAATGATTATTAGAAAAGCTTGATAACTACTTTGCAATGGGTGCCATATGTGTATAATATCATAACGACTAATATATTGGGGTGAAAAGACTTTTCAAGCATAGAGAATTTTATAATACAAAGCAGAGAGTTGAACTCAATCCAAATTGAAACTCAGTTTGAAGCATCGTTTTTTGTTCATCCAAAACTGAATATGAACCTTTTTTACAGCTTTGTTGGAACTACTTCAGTCATATCTCAAAACTAGTTCAATTCACTGGCTGAAAGCCCTGTAAAAAGGGCACGTTGTTGTTTTTTATGGAAATGCTTAAATGCTTACCTAAATTCCAAAGTGGTGGTTAATTTGGTACAGTTTTCGTTATCCCAGCTTCTCTTTAATGTCCTAAAATCATTTCACACTAATTGTTTGCAAATGCTTCTTACTGTTGCATGACCTTATAATGGACTATAAAACTTGTTATGGATAAAAAAACCAAATTACCCATTTTAAAAATGCCTTTTTTTTTTCCCTGCTCCCTCATCTCTTTCTCCTGTAGGCCATACCCTGACAAGTGCACTAGAGAACACACTGTTCTATCCACCTCCCAGGATCACCCTAAAGTTAAAAATGCCCAAATCAGCATTAGGAGATTGCAAAAATAACTCGCTGAAGCCTGGCAACAGACCGCTTTCTCCTGAAAACAACAGTACTGTTTACAGCAAACGGAGTGTGCCGATGTCAAAGGAATCATTTGAAATTAAAGCAAAATCTTACACCAGGTATCAGCACGACAGCAGAAGTAATGGGTTGCTGGCAGGGATCGGCAAGCCTCGGAGTGAGGCAAAGGATTCTGGTCCCACGCAGATGATGGAGTTTCACCGGAGTCAGCCGTCCGGGAAGCCTTTAGCGCTCCAGGCTGCTTTGCATGGACAGTCTTCCATTGGGAATGGGCGGGTGCAGCAAGAGAACTCAAGGCTGATGGCCAAGTCCAATGGTCTGATGGGCAGGGCTGGAGACGTGAGCCAGAGAGACAGCTCCAGCCAGACGCCCTATGAACAAGAGTCCATGCTCACAGCTCACTTGGCCAGCCAGAGCGGTTTCAGAAAATCCACCATAGAACATTTTAGCCGGTCCTTTAAAGAGGCTACCAATAGTCTAGTGAGGACCACGGAAGATCTCCGGTGCTGTGAAAAGCCAACAAGAAGACTTGCAACAAAAGATCGCTTGTGGAGCAAGCAGACACTTGAAGGTGCTCCATACCAGGACAACGATGGGTACTGTCCTGACTTAGAGCTGAGTGACTCTGAAGCAGAAAGTGATGAAAACAAAGAGCAAGTGAGGTTAAGACGAAGTAGCTCAGAGAGAGAAAGCCCAAGTAAGGACTTTGGAAGAGATTGTCACAATAGAAACAAAAAGAATATGATTTCTCACAGTTCGGTACAAAGGTGATTAGAAGCCCCCACGGGGTAATTCAGCCTTTATGTAGTCCCGTGTACCAGTGCAAAGCTCGTTATCAAAAGGTTCCAGAAAATATTCTAGGACCTATGTTAGGAAGAGCTGCAGTAGGGGATGGGGGGAGGGGAGAGAAATCAGAATAGTTTTGTTCAACTGTGAATTGGTTTGCAGTCTTCGCAAGGTTAGCTCAGTTGTCCACAAAGTCATGTGGAAATCGTGTGTTTTACTAGAGGGTAACATCTGGGAGAGCACGAAGTGGTTAATCTTTGCATAAATTCAGGAAACCGCTTCCCCCTTGCCAGCTTATGTGCAAGGCAACGTGTTCGTGTGAAGTCAGTGTTGTGATGGTGGACAGATTTTAAAGAAGTCCTTGCATTGCTCTAATTTGTTGCAAGAGACTGCAAACGGAGACACTGAAACTGCATTCTTACAGCACCTGCAGCATGGCTTTGATCCAGCAATGCACTTGTGGATGTGTTAGGAAGTTAAGCATCTGAAAAGTCCTGCTGGTTTCCCCGGGAACCATTGTGCTCAGATCTCCGAGCATATGCTGGTGTGCTCTGCTGGATCAGGCCCTAAGTGACTACTAAGTGACGATCCCCTTCTGCAGGAGCTTTGAACTGCAGTGGCATTTGCAGGCTCCTTGCAGAGGGTGGAAGCAGGTCACTGGCGCTGCCAAACTTGCTGACCTCTAGACGTGCCCCTGTTCCCTGCTTTTGCTGAAGGTTTTGTTTCTCTTCACAATAACTTGCTTATTTTGTAAATATAAAACTTCTAGTACTTCAGTTTTTTTAATCTCTGTACATAGTTGCTTGTTGTGGGATGCACTTGTAAATATTTTACCCAGCTAACAAGTACAGATGGCTAATTTTGTGGATAGTGTTTACAAAAGTAGATGTACTACTTCAAAGAAAAATGCTATTTGACACTTACATTTAGGCAATCACCGGTGATGCCAGGTTCCTCTTGAAACTGAGATTTCATATCCAGAGGTGTTTGTACCTGGTATTTTTAAAGTTGGCTGAATTTGAAATAATTTTGGCTAAATTTTTTTTGCAGGTGCAAATTTTCAACCCTAGTTGCCTGAACACAGGCATAGGAGCCTTCTGGCATCTAGGTCTGTAAAATTTTAACCAATCAACATTTGGAGTATGGGTTTTTTAATTGCTGAAAATCTACTATTTTATTAAGCTGCTTTTCAACCTCTGGATCAGTTGCTGTTTCCCAGTCTAACGCATTTTTGGTGTGTCCTTTAAAATCAGCAATCGTTAAATAGTGACTGAAGTTCAGCCAGTATTGAGGAAGCGAGAAGGGAAGGGAATCCCTTTCTGTTTGTTTCAGTGACAGGGGATTTTTCTTTAAATGCAAACTAACTTCTTGTTTTCCAGATGATGTTGTGTTGATCAAGAAGTAACTGCACTGTTTTTCTCTGAAATGCTGTACATTTCATAAATACGCAACATCCTCTGTCCCCACATCACTGGCTGAAATGGCCCATAGGTTGTATAGGGCATGTCATACAGCTCCTTTCTGTTGAGGGTTCAATTTTGTCTGGAAACAAAAGGTGTTCCCCACCCAGCGTGAAGATGACTATGCAGAATCCAAACAGCAACTTGTTTTTCTTCATGGTTTTAATTTATTGCTTTTAGCTTGGGAAATGGCAACGACATTTTCAGATTTGTTTTAAACTTTGAAATCTCCCTAGTTGCAATAGGACTAGCAGGTCAGGGGCTGGAGGACTCTTCAGTAGTGAAATAATAATAAAAAAAAAGGTATACTTGGCAAACCTGCTCTGTTTGCTTCATGCATCTTAATTTTTTTTTTTACTTTTTGATTTTATGTATATTTGTGTAATTGATCTTTCTAGAGCTGTATCTTCAAAATTATTTCATTTGGTGTAAATATGCAGTAGCATTTTAGGTTTCCACATATTTTATTTTAATGGGAAATGCTTTGTGTTCTAAGCCATGGGTCATTCAGAAAAAGTAAACAAATATCTATTCATTTGTATTCTGGTTCTGATTCTCTTAGTTCTCCTTCAATATTTATTAGTAATCCTCTCTCACTGGTCTTGAAATTTTATGAAGCTTTTATTGGGAACACTTACCTGGGAGGTCAGCAAAGTGTTCATATTATTTTGTGGCTGGAAGCATATGACAGAAGAGAGGGAAAATGGTGCTTTAGCAAAACTCAGCGTTTCTGCTCTTCTAGGGTTATCAATTCAGTTGTTTCCAGTCTGGGCAATGGTTTTGCTAATTTTTACATGATCTTAATAGACATATGAAGGAGCCCTTGGTTATGTAGTTCTCAAGTATTGTCCCCAAAGTGCATTTGCTAGTTTTTATTGTGCGTTCGGTGGCTAACTGTTTGAAGTATTACCTCTTAACTTTATTTGTCAATTTTTTTTGTGTTTTTGCATTTTGTTTTATATATATAAATATATATATATTCAATTTTCCAAGATGGACTCGGTCTTTTTCAGATGTCCCCTTTTTACAAGTACTTTTTCATTAAATTATGAAACTGCTAACAATATTTTCATTTGTTGTGATTTATTCAGGGCTTTTCCCTCTGTGTCTGGCAGGTTGTGAAACTCGTCAGTACTGTGTCCATCAGGAGTAAATTATTTCTGCAGATCTGGCAATGCTTTAACAAGTTAAGTATCCAGGAAAACCCTTCCCCTTCAGCATCCCAAAAAAGAGTCGCTGAGCACTAATTTGCTGTGTATAGCAAATAGTGCAAGCCTGGCTTTTGTTTCTGCCTGGCTGAGCAAATGTAGCAGACTATTTGCTGCCCTGGCCTCACTTTTCAATGTATTTGCTTATGCTGTAGTATGGCTGGTTTTCCCTGGTTGGACAAAGTGGGTTATAGAGGAAGAGCTGTAGCCAGGCCTTCTGTCTGATCCCTCTTCTTCCCACAGACGTGCACAGCTAAACACAGCCCGCTATTGCCCTGTATGTGCAAAGGACTAATCAGTGCAAGCAAGTTCCTGGGTTGATGTTTCATGTCAGTTTAACACCGACTTTTGCTGTAGTTCCCCCTGCTCCCACAGGCTGGTGCTGTGATGTACCTTGCTGTCTGAGAGGAGCTGGTCTCTGTGCTAGAGCAGGGAAGAAGGCAAGAGGAAAAGGAAGGTGGAGAGAAAGGAGTGGGTGTAGCCGCACAACTGATCCGATAGCATCCTTTGTGCTCTGACCGGCTCTGCAACTGGCAGCATCCAAGACGGATGGGGAATTGGCAGTCTGGGTGTTGCAGGCAGCAGTGATCCTCCCTGCCAGCAGTGGGTCTGGCAGCAACAGAGTGAGTGGAAAGCTGAGCAGCCAACATGCTTGTGGCCTGGTGTACAGGCAGGAGTGACTGAGCAGGTGGCCCTAGGCAGGCTGGGACCGGAGCTGGAGATAGGCTGGGTGAAACGGAGCTCAAGTCCCTCAGCTGAAAAGCAAACAGGAGGTAAAAAAGGGTGGAAAGGCGGTAAAGGTGCAGACAAAAGCGAAGAAAAATCAGCACTAGGAAGAAGCAGTAAGTGTTGGACTGTCAGCTGTTTTTCAGGACTAGGATTTCTTCTTCCCTGAAGGCGATCTTGCAATAAATTCCAGCAACAGACTTCCTTTTTTTTCCTTTCTGGTTGGTGGCTTCTAATTCCCTGTGCAAATACAGTCTGCTTATGGCTGGGAAGTGGGAAAGACAGGGCCAAGAAAGGAAATTGGTATACTCATTATTTTGGAAACAGTTGCTGTTGGTTTGTAGAGTCTTTACAAATAGTTGTGGTTACTGGTTGATGGAAACTTGGGCCAAGCACTAACAGGGGCTGTGTGGTGATTCCCAGCACCATCATTTCTGCATTTGTGTTTCTGTCCTAAGAGAAATGTTTCTCGGTTATAATTTGCATGTGTCATTTGTAGAATGTTTTCTTTGCACCATGAATTCCAAACCATAGAGGGAGAAATTACAAGTGTTTGGATATTTAACGTAAGCCTGAAACATTCACTTGATTTTGATGTGGCACCGCTGACGACTCGGCCTGGATATACAGGCTGTGCTGCAGACGCATGATGTGTGTCTGATACTGGGAGGGACCGAGCGTTACCAAGTGTTCAAAGCCTGCCTCTGTGAGCTGCAAAGATAATCCAGCGAAACCACTCATTTTGATCGTTGGGAATTTTGATGATCCCAGTGCTTGTAAAGGTTTAGCACTGCAGGGAATTGACACATCTAGTAGGAAAACATGCTTTTGATGTGAATTAAGGAACAAAAGGAAGCTGCTTGCACAACCTGGGAGCTTGGCATGTGAGGGAAAAACACCGGGGAAGGGCAGAGATGGAAAACAATGGAGTGCCTCAATGCAACTTCTTTAGGAAGAAGTGAAGACTCACAGAATTTTGGGTTCTGGTTTCATGAGAGATGCCATGCTACTGCTGCTTCTGAACCTTGTGCCCGCTTCAGAGCTCAACAGGCTATTACCCCTCCTGGGGTGCAATTCTGCAACATATCCCTCTTGCACAATTGATCCTGGGATAACTGCTGCCAGGCTCTGCTCCTAACCAAGTCAGCACATCTGTAGTGATGTGACAGAAGTGGATTAAAGTGACTGCAAGCAAAGCTTTCTGAAAGAAAATGTTACATAGCAGTGGGGGTAAGTTGTTTGAAAATAGCAGATGTGCATGCCTATTTCTGTTCCTCAAGTTAACCCCTCTGCAGATAGCTTGGATAGGTTTGTGACTACATGGTTAAGGAGAAGCAGCCTCAGATATTTGCTCATTAGTTTCCCTGCCTCTGTGTATACAGCTTCCCCATAATCTTTCTTTTTCCAGTAGGCTTCTTTCGTGTGGGACAACCTCCTAGATCCACCTTGCCCTGCCCTTTCTCCGGGACTCTTCTTTTGTTTCAGGCTGGGCAGACCCTGCCTGCCTTCCCATTGCTTTCTCAGCAGCCCTGAAGCCGGGTATCTGCCTCGCCTAGGCTGCCTTATCTGATACATTGTTTTAAATCTCTAGGTAGGCTCCATAATGACACCTTTATGGTAGCTTTTGGCTTAACCATCCTGAAGACATTTTTTCCAGTTTCTGTTGTTTTTCCCCAAGTGCTGCCCCACCCACCCTCACCCCAGCCAGGGAAGAGCACTGGGCAAGGCAGGACACATTAGGGTGGACAAATTAGTGTGCTGAGGAAAGATTTGAAACCTAACACAGCAACGACATTAAAGGAAGATGCTGTCAGGAAATCTCCTGGTCATCTGAAAGATCTTGAACCTGTGACACAGACATCAAGATATCACAGAATGGTTTGAATTGGAAAGGACCTTAAGGCTCATCCTGTTCCAATCCCCCTACCATGGACAGGGACACCTTCCACTAGATCAGGTTGCTCAAAGCCCCATCCAACTTGACCTTGAACACTTCCGGGGATGGAGCAGCCACGACTTCTGTGGGCAACCTGTTCCTGTGTCTCACCATCGTCAAGATACGCCACTCTTTTTATTTTTTGTGGTCTCAGCAACTGCAAGGAGACCACTGGAGTAGTATCTATAAAAAGAAAAGGTGTTATATGCCATTTGAGAAAATGGCTCTGGTTATACCTTTGGAAGTGCAGGCTCTAGTAAGGGATTGAGTCATCAGAGGGGGAAAAACATCCCTAAACTAGCCCACCCACTTCGCCTGAAACCTTGGTGTCTGGTTGCATTCCTTTGTAGTTCCATCTCCCTTATCTCAGAAGGGCGGTGCTGAGTAGTTTGGGAACCCCAGTCACTGGCATTTTAGGCTCCATTTGCATCTGGTTGAATAAAGCCTGGCCAAAGTACTTTCCTTCCTTAGAACTGATGGCTCAGCTATTGTTCTGTTGTCTCCTCTAAAATGGAGTAGGGGCATTGTCTTATTCTTTTCCTGATTATTCCTTCTAGAACAAGCCAGACGTCTCTCCTGGCTTAAGGAAGCACAGAGGCCTCAAAGCTGGATGAGCCAGGTGATGTAAGATACTAACAAGCAAGTTGTAGTTTACACTCGTTACAAATGGCTAATACATAAACCAGACTTTCCTCAAATTGTCTGGTTTAAATTAAGCTCTGAGCAGTCACCCTAAACCTGCAGTTAATTTGAATATTTCTGATTTGGACTAGGACAACTTGCATGCCTGTAAGCCACAAACACTGAAAGCACTGTTGCTAAATCAGCTACTTGAATGAAAGATGCTGCCTTCCCTGAAGTCCTGGCTCCCTTGCATGGCTTCTGTTGTGACTGTAATTTTGCAGCTGCTGTAGCACAAATCAATGCTCTTTTTTTTTTAACCTGAGGCAAGCAAAATGCAAATCCAGGTCACGTGGGGTACAGAGTGCAGAAAAGTAAGGCATTAATGAAAAAATATCTTGGCTGTGCTTCACTGAAGAATAGCTTTCTGAAGCTCCCTGTTGCCTGACTGCTCCTGGTGCAGAGCAAAGGCCTGCACAGGCACCAGCTGGGAACTCTGAGCTTGGTGAGGTAGCTTCAGGTGGCAGGACCTGGCACTTGTGGGTGCTTCTGTGACAAAGAAGTTGGAGGTGCATGTGTGACAGTGTGAGGGTGTTCATGACAGACTTGAGAGACTGGCTGCACTGAAAGGGGTCATGATGTTTGCTCATAGCACTACTTTCTCAAGTAAGAGATGGTTTTTCATGAGCCTCTAGCCAGTACATAAGAAATTATGCTGAAATAAGTCTGCATAATAAACTGTGGTACTGCTGCTGGTTCTGAGAGAAACTGGACTATAAAGGCTAAATACTTCAATACGACTTCATGGAAATTTGGTGCAATCTTTCTTAGGATTCCCTTTTTGAGATTCTGAATCCATTCTGCATTAACTTGTGTGATAGTGGTGTTAGACACATAAATTAGTCAACGGGCACAAGTTTGCTGCTGCCACCTTCTCCCGAGGACACATGTGCAAACAGGAAAAGGGAGTACTTTGGCAAATGTTTGGACTGTTATGAGTGTTTAAATACACAGTTGTGATCATCCAGACTAGTAAACAGTTGAGACTTCTCAGCAGTTTGATTTCTCCTGGACCTACTTGTTGCTTACTAACAAATAAAAACTTGATCTGGACATGCAAGTGAATTCCAAGAACTATACTTGTCTGCAAGGAAGTGCCTGGCAGTGCTAACTCTTGCTTTCCAGCCAACTGATTGCAGGGACTGATTTTGTATTTCTACCTCTACTCTTGCTTGGCGTTTTTTGGTTTGGCTTGTCCGTCCATCTGTCCCCCCCTCAAATGCAGTGCCATCTGCTAGTGGTGAATTCTCATGTGCCTGAATGGATTTAACAGCAGGATTGCACTGAGGTAGTGGCTCTTTGGGCTCCACTGTCCTTGGCTTCACAGTCCCTGCTCTCGGCTGCACCTTGCCCATCTGAAGAGAAGGTTTGACAGACTCCCTGTTCAGAGGCAGCTGTTAAGATACAGACATCTGATATGTGACATTTGCACTTCGTACCAGGCATGGATAAGGCCTAAGCCCTCTCACCTTCCAGCAGGGAGGAGAGGACTAGCAGTAGTAAAAAAAAAAAAAGGCTAAAGGTGACAGAAGAAAGAATACTCTAAAGATGAAGAAACAGCAGGATCAAGCTCATAAAAGCAGAGAAGAACAACTGTGACTTTGGTTTTTGCTTATGCTCATTCCTGAAGTCTCTTTATAGCCCCTGAATTAATCCACCACCTCTTTTTGCCTACAGTCCTTAAAGGTGGGGGGATTTTTCCAGCTCTGTGGCACACTAGGCTGTTCTCCAGAACTGCTGAGCATTTCCTGACTGGCAAGAAGGGTAATGGCTTCTGGCAGGCTCAGGGAACCTGTAGGCTGGGGGAGGGTTGTCACTTCACCTTACCAAGGCCTCCTGCATCACAGATCTACTCTTTCTGTTCTTCATGGTTGTGGATGTTAAAATTCCACTTCCTGCTCCCTGCAAAGCAGGAGGAGCAAGCATGTGATTTATCCATGTGGGATAAATGCTGACCTTCCAGTCACTTCCTTCAGAAGCCACGGAGGTACTGTGTGTGCTCTGTCAGTCAGATTTGGAGGCCACAGAGTAGCCACTGTGACTGCAATGCAACAGTGGGAATGGGAAGTTCCCAGTGGGGAAGGCTCAAGGAAGCACAACCTTTGGCACCATCTCTTCTGTGCTCTTCTTTCCCACAGTGAACTTGTACTGGCAGAAGACCTCAGCTGATGCTCTCTGTGAAGGCACCCCCCTCCATGGATTCCTCCCTGCTTCTACCTTTCAGCAAGCCTGGATTAGCCATTACAGAGAAGACAAAGCAGGAGTACTGTCCTGTGTAACTAGAGATCCAAGCTCAAAATACGTGGCACAGAGTTTGTGTTGTAACCTGGTGCTCGCAGAAGCTGTTAATTTTCTCCCAAGGTGTGTGCCAACACACAGCTTGTTTTGATGCCTCCAAACCATGCTGGCAAATGCTGAAGTCAGCAAGGAGCAGAGAGACTGGTGAGGTGGGTTGAGGGTGTGAGTATCTCCTGCTGCTACTAGATTCAGTAAGCTGTTGCATTGGCCAAGTATCCCAAATGGGGCCTCATAGTGTGCAAGGACAATGGGAGAGCAGCAAACATGGCTTAGCTTTGTAAGAATTGATAATTGTGCTTCATTGTACTTAATGAATTCTTTGCATACAGTTTTTTAAACCTCTGGATCTTCTTTCCTAGTTGTAAAATGTATAAAGAAGGAGAGATGTGGGTTTTTTTTTTCTGGATGTTTTTCTGTGTTGGCAGTTGCTGATAATTTGCTTGCCTCACATTTGAGATGAAATCCTTCTGTCAGGATTGTTGTATGACACAGCAGTAGAGACAGAAAGAGAAAATTCAATGCTAAGCACTGAAGTAATGCCATGCAAGCCTGTGAAATAAAAGCCTAGCTGCTCAGGTAAGGTTAATAAAGTTAATAAAGTTAATTAAGTTAATAAATATCACGTTAGTTGTCCATTGAGAGAAGCCTACATGAAAGATGTGCTGGTAAGGTCATGTAGGCCCTGAACTTTCCAAATATACCCCTGAAAGAGAAAAATGTGACCAAGTGCAGCCTGGGCTGTGAGCACCTGCTTTATGAATAAAGGCAACTGAGTAAAAATCTTTGCCAGGAGATAATTGCCAAGAGGAGAGTGTATGTTAAGGAACAGATAAAATCTGTAACAGGAGTTGTGCAGGCAGCTACCTGCTAAAAGACTATGGCTGTGTGCAGTGCCCCTCAAATAATGGGGCTGCTCCACATGCCAGCTCAAAACAAGAATCTGGATGTGGGAGACGCAACTTTAGGAGCAGCAAAGTTAATTCTCGTTTGTGAAGACAGTGGTGAGCCAGCCTGTGCCTGATTGGTGAATCCTGAGTTGCCAGGAGGAGACGCACAACACAAGGAGGAGTGAGACTGAAGTTGCTTGACATCACTGATGCCTACAGGGATAACCGAATCCAAGTCAAAAGGCAATATGTCATGGGGTGCTGAAGAGGAGAGCTGGGATTTAAAAAGCACCCTTTCCTTTATGATTTGAGGCCTGGGAGGTGAAGTGGTCATAGCACAGAGATAAGCAGGCACAACAGAGAACTGCATCTGGAAATTTTGATGCCAGCTGTTTGCCTTGCGCCTTTGGAAGTCATAAGGGCTTTACAACACAGGGAGTAAGATGGGGCTTGGCACATGGAAGGCCCAGGATTTCTGGATAACCAGGGAACTGCTGCAAGAGCTGTGGAGAAGGATCCCTGGTGCTGGAAGTTGGGGCCAAGGCCAAAGCACAGCAAGAAGGCAGACAGAAACCAGGCCTTTTGGGAATCAGCCTCTCGGGGAGCCGAGAAACTTTTCCACCGCGATGGGAAATCTCCCTCTTTTTCCTCCCTGCAGCTCTTGGAGGCGGGGGAGCCGAGCCGCTGCTGCTCGGGCAGCCGCCGCTCCCAGCTCCCCGCGCTGGCCTTACGGCATGGACACGAGCTTCCCGAACAGCCCGGCCTTCGCCCTCCCCGCCGGGCAGGACAGCCTGGCCCGGGCGGGGGACCCGCCCAGACGAGGGTACCCAAGGCGCGGCCACCGCCCTTCTGCCCTCCCCGCTATAAGAGCGGCGGCGGCGGCGGGACCTCTCCTGCGCGGCTGGAAGCAGGTAGGGCCGGCGGCGTGCGTGTGCGTGCGCGTTTTGTGATTATTCATTATTGCTATTAATTATGGTTAATTATTGTTGTTACGCTTCTCTCCCCTGTCCACAGGCAGACGTATAGGTAGATACACACGCGTGTGTTTGCACTGCACACCCTCGGCAGTGATGCCGCCGCGCCGGGCGCTGTGCCCGCGCATCCGGGCGTGTGGGGGCGGGCCCGCCGGCGGAGCGGCCTTGGCCTTTCCCTCCTGCACCCCCGATTTAATTTTTGCCCCCCCCCCTTTTTTCTCCCCCCCTTTTTTTTTTTTTTTTTTTTTTTTTTTTTTTTTTTTTTTTTTTTTTTTTTTTTTTCCCCTCCTTCTTTCGTCCCAGCAGGCCGGTGCGGGGGAGGAGGTGTGGAACTCGCACTGAGAGTCGGTGACGATTCCCTTCGCAGGCATGTCGTCCGTCAGGATCGAGTGCATTGCCAACGAGGGCTACAGGATCGGGGAGTCGCCCGTGTGGGACGAGAAGGAAGGCGCGCTCCTGTACGTGGACATCTCGGGTAGGAAGGTGTGCCGCTGGAGCCCGGTGACCAGGCAAGCTCAGGCCATCCCCGTGGGTAAGGAGCCGCTGGAAAACCCTCTGCTGCATGCGGGAGTTGTGTGTTCTGACTCCGCGCCGTGTCCCTCGGCAGCTGCATGGTGCTCATCTTCTGGAGACCTTTCCTAGGCCTACAGGACACTGGGGCTTTGCACAGACACTAGGTACAGGCCAGACTTAGTCCTGGGGACTTTCTTTATGGTTTTGTGGTTATGTTTGTGGTTTATGTTTGTGGTTATGTGGTTTTCGGTTATGTTTGATCTACAACTTCTTCCTGTAAGTTGTCCACAAGTAGCAAGTTGGACAAAAGTCCTCTTTTGTACCACATTGTCCCAGAGGTAAAGTTCCACTGTCGGTTTCTGTTGTAGTTTTGTTCTGATTTGAATGAGCAATGCTCATAACATTTTCTGTATTGTAAAAGATTTCCACTAGCAAATTAAGAAGTTGTTATATTTTAAGGTAACAGTATCACCAGCTAGAGTCTCAGTAGTTTTAAGTATTTATCCCAGAAAGGAAGAGATATGCTAACTCTCATAAAGAAAAAGTTGCAGATTTGCTGCTGGTGTGATAATGTAAATATTTGTCTGTCTGAAGACAGCTCCTTAAGTGGTTTCAGTACAATTTTTTTCTTATGTTCAGTAACACTTGGTGAAAATCAATTTTGCCTACCCATAAGCTACTGACATTATTCACAAGAAATTGATCTGGGCTTATCTACCCCTCAAATTACTGTGGTTAGCAGTTTTAGGTTGAGAGAAGACCTGATATTAATTTGGGAAATGTTGCTTCCCAAACTTATTTCTACTTAGCTTAGCTGAGGCAGTGTGCTTCTCCCGGCCTTTCCCCCCAACTTGACCTGCTCTCAAAGGTGTAGTCTTTTCATATGGCCTCCCTGGAGATGTGGAAGGGATAGAAGCTGAAGTAACTCCTTTTTTATTTTTTTTATTGTTTCCTCTCTTTAGTAATAAAATAGTTATGACTAATAGCTGTGCCTTTGGGAATACCATGGCTAAAAGACACAAAAAAAACCCCCAGGCAGCCTAAGAATGTCATACTCAAGTAGTGGGTTTCCAAAGTGGAAACTAAGAGAGAAATTACTCGTTACTAAAATGTACGGAGAATTACAACAACCACATGCTTAGCAACAACGTCAAATGCCCTTTTTAACTCCACAGGGAAAACACTGCTACACACATAATTGTGCCTGGAGGGGAGACCCTATGGTCAGTTTTCTTTTTGGTATAAAATGGTGCTACAAATAAATCAATTCCTGCAGATGCTGCTATAACAAAGCCCTGCAGTGTCACAGTGGACTGAGCTGGCTGCAAGGGCCAAGATGCTCGCTTGCACTGTATTTGTGCAGTGAACAGCAGGGTGTCTATGTCTGGATACACCCCTTTCCTCTGCAGTGCTTATTCAGGAAGGTATGGGACTGTTCTTGTGTAGGGGCACCTGGGGAGCTGACACCTCCAGGAACAGCCAGTCAAGGGTGTGTGGACTGCTGTGCTTGGGGGCTGCTACTCCCTGGATAGGAGGAAGGCCCTGGGGGCTGCCCAAGTGAAAGGGCTTATGGGAGCCATGGCCCCAGGTGTTTTCCTGGGAAAGCAAATGGAGAGTTGTGTTCCCATGTTCTGCTAGCAGAGGCCCTACTGGTGGTACAGGCAGAAAAGCACTTTTATTGATGTGGTTACTGGCAATCCAAAGAGCAGCAAAATTACTACGTGTGGCAGGTGCCACATGGCTGATGGGACTCTGCTGACCTCTGTGCTGGCACAGGAAGAAGAATTGGCACCCAGTGTAAATGAGCCCAGACCACCAGCAGCCTCTGTAGTGGGGTCACACACCTCTAGGACATGGAGCTGCTGGAGTTGAGCTTGCAGTCAGGTGGGCATCTCAACTGCTGGCAGTAAATAGCATTCAGATTTCTGGCAGAATGGTACCACTGCCAGGGCTCCAAAGGGAAGGGACATCCCGAGCCATGAGCAAACAGCCAGAAAGGACCAGTTCCTCTTGGCAACAGTGGTGGCTGGTTGTAGTTATAAGTATTTGTGAAACTATTACCTAATTATACCCCTGCAAAGCTATAAATACAAGAAATGTTTTATTTTTTTTAATTATTAACTTGGTGATTAGTCTCATGTATATAAAATATTATACCAGACTTTATTGCCCTGCCTGAAGTTATTATTCCTTATATTGCATCTGATTGTAGGCTTTTACAGAAATGTTATCTTCACTGGGTTTTTTTACTAATTCCTTTATAATAACCTGCAATTGAGGTTTTATGCATAATAGCTCAAGTGAGTGTAAATTAACTGTGGAGTATACACTAGTTTTCTGTTTCCCTTTAACTCTTGGAAGCTCTGCCACTCCTTGGTGTGGTTTTGGTGCTGCTGGAGGCATATTTGAACTGCACAGCAGAGTGTGGTGCAGGAGAGCGGCTCTCCTGCCCAGTGTGGCCTGTCCCAGTGCAGAGATACTCTTGCCTCCATCAATGTAGGGCTGATTTATGCAGGAGCTGTGCTAAACAAACACAGTTACTCCAGAGCTCTTGTGGCAATTGATTTTTCCTTTGTGTGGGGGGGAACCCACACAAAGGATGTAAAAAGGATGTAACCTGATGTAAAAAGCCCTGTCCCCCCTTTAATGCCTGGGGTTTTTTTTTAAGCATCTAGCTGAACCAGATGCTGGTAATGATTATAGCTCCTGGGAGCAGTGGTAATACTTAAGTTTCTTGAGTTTATATGTCCTAATAAATGCTGATACCCTTCATAGCAACTTGCTGTATACATTAAGTATGCACTCTTAGCATGACCTAATCTGTTTCTATGTATTTGGACTTCAATTTGTTTGATAGAAAAGTAGGTTGTTTCTCTTGCCTGTGGTTTCACTGAGTTCAGTTTGCATGTCTAAAGTGGGCAGAAATGTCTTGCCATAGCACATCCCTCTTTTCCATTTCACCCTGTTTCTAGATGCTCCTGTGAGCTCTGTGGCTCTTCGGAAATCTGGAGATTATGTCATCACTCTGGGAACCAAGTTTGCTGCTTTGAAGTGGAAAGAGGAGCAAGTAACCACCATTACTCAAGTGGACAAGGACAAACCGAATAACCGATTCAATGATGGGAAGGTGGATCCCGCAGGGAGGTATTTCGCAGGTATGCTGCAGGGAGGTTCCTTCCCGCTGGTGCTTGTTAGGTTTTGGTGATAAGATGCAGTGATCAGTTGTAGATGCAGCAAGTTTTCCTTCATACTTAAATGGTGGGGGGTTTTTTTGTCTTCAGAGTTTAATCCCGTTTACAAATCTGTTTGTATCACCTGGGCACCATCTAATCAGGACTGTTTTTTTAAAAAGAGACACACTATTCAAAGTCTGCCTAGTTTAAGACATGAGCTTTGCCTTCTCCCTGTTGGCTGCTTGTTTTGAATACTCTCAGGGTGCCAATAGAAAGTACTTTTCCAGTTAGCAAGTTATTATACTGTGTGTTTTGTTCTTCATAAATCAGAATTTATAGATCGTATTTCTAAAAACTATGTGACTGTTTATACTGGAGAAGAGAAGGCTCAGAGGGATCTTACCTGTGTATAAGTACCTGATTTGGGGGGGTGGCGAGGGAGTAAAAAAAAAGATGGAGCCAGGCTCTGCTCAGTGGTGCCACTGATGGGACCAGAGGGAGTGGGCACGAACTACAAATCAGCAAATTCTGTATGTACATAAGAAGACTCTTCTACTGACGATGATCAAAGAGCGGAACAAGTTGTCCAGGGGGGCTGTGGGGTCTTGATCCATGGAGATCTTCAAGACCCAACACTGGCCTGAGGAACCTGTGGTGTCTGACCCTACGCTGAGCAGGGGGTGAGGTGATCCTGGATGGTCTCCAGAGGTGCCCTCCCACCTCAGCTATCTGTGATCCTGTCCTCCTGTTTTTTAAAACACCGTTCTGTGCATCTGCTCTATAGTTCAGTCCCCAAGCTTACCTTAGCTTGCATTTACCCAGCCTCTCAAGAGCCAGTCTCAGCTGCCAACTTGAAGTTGCAAAGATGAGATTTGCTTTTGAAGAGGCTTTAATGTAAGACTCATTGAGGGAGGAGGTAACTTTTTCCAGTTTCTCAGCTCTACAAGACATTAAGATTTGTGGGAAGTTAAATGCTGACCACACCTTTCTTAATATATGAATGACTGAATAAAACATTTTGCGGGAATCACGCTGCACACTATTTCTGCCACAGTTCAACAAAACCCCAGAGACTATGTTCTGTCATCTTTTGCTGAAAGCAAGCACTTCAGAAATCTACCTTTCTTTTGCTTTTAACTCATTTTCTTCCTCAAATTTCAGAAGCCCCCCGCGCTGCTCCCTTCTACATTGTGATTATCATCATTGCGAGGGGCTGCCACCAAACCTGGAGGAGAGTCCATTCGCTCTGAACCTGCTTTCTCCCCTTTGGCTCTGCACAGGTACAATGGCTGAGGAGACTCGGCCTGCCGTGCTGGAAAGACACCAGGGCTCTCTGTATACACTTTTCTCTGACCTCTCAGTGGTGAAGCACTTTGATCAGGTGGACATTTCCAATGGGCTGGACTGGTCACTAGATCACAAAACCTTCTTTTACATCGACAGCTTGTCCTATTCGGTGGATGCCTTTGATTATGACCTCCAAACTGGAAAAATTGGTATGAATGACTGTATTCTAAAATAATTGGTTGTGCCTAAAGATTGTGATGTTTGTTCCTGTTCTGGTTATTATATAGAGATGATCAGAGCTTTGGGAGTGCTTCTTCAGTCACCTCTTGAGGGCAAAACAACAGAAGCCATATTAATGCCTATCTTCGCCTGCATAGGCTCCTGGCTCAAACCAGTCAGGGTCTGTTGGTAGCTCTATAAAGTATTTAAATTGCATGGCAGTTTGAGTAGTGATCTGTACTACTGTTACTAAACACAAGGCATATCTGATCTTCCAATGTAAAACCAGCAAAGTGTTTCTCATTTGTCTAGGTTTCTGTGGCTGTGTGTTTCTTGCTACTGAAAGCATAGGCCATCTTGTAGTCTTGTACAAAACCTCTGCCAGCTTCTCTAAATATTTTTTTCACTTTTCACTGTCTTGTTTTTTAAATATAAGCTTTTAAATGAAGATTCTGCAGAAAGAACTGGGCAACAATGGGAAAGCAGTAACTCAAATTTCTTTCCTTTATTTAAAACAAAACAACGCCTGAAGGGCTTCTGCAAGCTTGGGCAAAAGAAAAAATTCCAGTGACTTGGACTAATAATTTGCTTTTGAGTACATGGACTGCAGTATTTTACTTTAAAAGAACCTAGCCAATTTGATGTTGAATTTTAAAACTGAATTTAAAGTCATTTTGGGCATAGAATCCTGTCCCAGTGTCTCTGTGCTATGGCTTACAACTGAATTTTTCTTTAGGAAATAGGATGCTTCTCCTCTCTCTCTCTCTCTCTCTCTCTCTTTCACTCTCTGTCTTTCTGTGGCAATCTGACAATCCCCAGGAGCAAAAAGGAAATTCATTAAAAATATTGCTGCATATGAGAAACATTGAAGTTGTCAGAGCATAAAATAAACAATGTTGGAAACTTGTGTTTAATTTTCTTTAATAACAATGGATAAAAGTTCAGATAGATTTGTTTGGTTTAGGTTGATAATATGCCTTTGAAATTGATGCTTTTCCTAGCTCTTGTGTTTATATAAACTCTGAGTTTATAGATCTGAAGGTCAGTTTTGTGTTGAAATAGTGATTATTGGCATGTTGCAGCAATCTGTTTGAAAAGTCTCCAGTTGGAGCAACTCATACTTCAAATTATCCAAACTGCTTTTAGAACAAATAATTAATTTTATTAATATATGTAACATTAATTTATTCAGTTATTCATTTGATATTGTAAGTAGGGAGCATGAGTGGTGCACTAGAAAATAATGCCAGAAAAAAGGATTATAATTTCAGTGGATAGAAACTATACACAGGCTTTCATGCTGGGAAACAACTGTCTCAGGAAACAGAGTAGCAGACACCATCTATTTCCTTTATAAGAAAAAAACTCAAGGCTTCAGCACAGCTTTTGAAAATAATAGTACAAATAACTTGCTGGGCTGTGACTGATAAAAATTTTAACAACTGTCTCGCTCAGTTGTCTGTTTTTTTCCTACCCTGCAGGCAACCGTAGGAGTATATACAAACTGGAAAAAGAGGAGAGCATTCCTGATGGGATGTGCATTGATACAGAAGGCAAACTTTGGGTAGCTTGTTATAATGGTGGGAGAGTGATTCGTCTTGACCCTGAGACCGGTAAGCCCTTGCAAAAGGTGGACTGGAACTTTGTGTTCAAGGAAAAAAAAAAAAGAAGAAATAAAAGCAAAGAATGAGAGGGTTTCCCCCCCCCCAGAAATGATATATCTGCTCTTTTTAAAAACACTACTTTTTTTTTTAATTATTATTTTAAACAATTTCATGCCCCTGCTCTCAAAAATTGCCTTTGTAAATAAGTCTTCTTTGTTCCCAGCATCTGTTGTGTTGGAAAAGGTAAAGTTGCTAAGGAGATCATCATTATACTTGTGAGTTGTTTGAATTGGCATTCTCTTACATCCTCCAAACTTTAGACCAGTGTTTACTTCATTGATAAATGATGTAAATGAGTAAGCCATGAAATATCAAAGATGACTAAAGCCATTTTTGAGCCTTGTTTCTTCAGCATATTATATTATTTTGGATGGCCTACTGAGTTTAATACAATTCCCACATGACACTGATGCCAACAATATATTTTTTATTGTTGAAAATAATTTAAAATATTTCATTAATTCCACAGCATTTTGTCATTCACATAATAACATCTTGAGTGTGCCCATTGTCTGAGCCTGTTGTTCATTCCTACTCTCATTTGGACTTTAGTGGTGTGCCAGAGATGATTTACTATGGGTAAAAAACACATGTAAAGCATTTAAGGGAAGCTGAACCCCATTGCCTGCAAAGGGGCAATGGGTGAGAATAGGAGTGTGATTTTGGCAGATCCCAGGAAACACAAGTTTGCATAATGCAGCAGAGAAGCAACTGCGCTGAGCTGCATCTGGAGTCTAGTAGAAGGCTTAGTGTTTTGTGGGGCTGCAGATTCAGGGATGCCAGTGTCCCTTGATGCATTCTTGATCCCTTGATCCCTCTGCAGTGCACAGAGGCACTGGCACATGTGCACCAGGCAGGTCAGGCTGCAGCCTCACTTCTGACTCTACTGGAAGCTCTTACTTGAGTCTCAGGCTGTGATTTCCCCGTCACCTTTTGTTCTCTATCCATCCAAGGTCCTGCCAACCTGTTTGACTTCTGTTCTGCAGAGTCTGCACCCCAGCTTTAGGAAAACGAAGCTCCAGCTGGGAGATATCAGCAGCTCTGGGACTCGTTTCTGGTCCCACATCCTTCCCCTTTGGTGGGCAGAGTACTCCTTGGTGATATCCACCAGCCCTCCTGAAGCAGTAGACTCTATAATTTTTCCTCTCTGGTTCACTGTTTCTGTCTTCTTCCTCACTGGCCTTCACCTTCTTCCTTTTTTCACTTGTTTTTCTTCTCCGTTTTGGAGGTGTTTTCTTGTGGGAAAGCTAGAGGGAATAGTGGCCATAAGCAAATGCATAGGGATATACTAAGAATATTGACAGCAGAGTACATACCCCTAGTGCACTCCCAGTCTCTAATTATGCTCACAGCTGGATGAAATACTGACGTGTTGATAAGTACCATGCATTTCTCTTCTGTGAACCTGTCTGTCTCCCCTCACCCATGTAAAACTCATAACATCTGCAGGGAATAGTAGTACAAAGTTTCACAGGTTCAGTGTCCATGCCAAAAAGAGCCACCTTTTTCATGGATATCCAGTGATTACCTGCCGTCTCATGCTGTCGTTTTAAAGTGATTTCTAAAAATCTGCAATTTGCTGAATTCTGAATGAATCATAATTATTTAGGGAGATACCCAAGACATGTATGAAGAGAATTCCATGAAAG